AAAAAAAAAGAAAGAGCTAACGTGAATAGAGCACCCTGTTTGATTAATGCGCTGCAAATGCGATTTGAAAAAGTACCTGAACTGCTGACGCAGGTACTCTCTGCAAGGTGGGCTTAGTTTGAAACACAATATTCTGGCTATTTTGATTGGCCGTCGTGTAAATGTGATCGGCCTGCACTCGTTCATTAATTTCAGTCATCTCCACATCAGGTACAATCGTTTCAGTCTCAACGTTCCGATCAATTACACTGAACAATAAAATAAAAAGGTTTTATAAGAGTCGAAATCATTAATGGAATGTTTAAGATAAAAATTGTCTCATACCGTGTTATCATCCGGTCTTCTTCCCCTGCCATAACTTCCTCCGCATTCATGCGTTCAAGTTCCGCTTGAATATTCGCAAATTCTTCAAAATCATTCGATGCAAACTGCTCGCTGTTGTGGGACAAGCTTAGTGCACTGAGATCGTTGTCACCCAGGGTACGCGAGTCCAAGGCTAAGGGCTCAACCAAAGCCCTTGCATTCTGCCCTTTATCGGACATGACGTTGACGCCTGATAAAAACGTTGGCATAATTAAAAATAATCCAAGTCAAACTTTGAACATTTTTCTTTATGCTTATATACCCTGATTCTGCTTGCATCCTAATTAAATACAAAAATAAGAGTCACAATTTGTAGAACTCTTTATATAAAGGATGTTTTATCACTAATGATAAATTTCGCATAAAAACTTTTAGGATGATTTGAAATGGATTGCTCTGCAAATATTTAGGCATAAATAAATGTTAAGTAATAATCGATAAAAATAAAGATCATCTCATAAACTGAGCTGTAGAGAATGCAGAAAACAGAATCATATTTTCAATTAGTTACAAGTAAAATTTGAATTAAAGATTGAAAATATATAATTTTTCAAAGATTGGAAAATTTACAAAAATTTCTTTAATATTTTCATAGAAAAAAAAATCAACTTCATAAAACACTCTTCATATAATTTACTATTCTATTCATTTTATAGCATTAAAAAAAAGTATCAACAAATAACTCCTTGTTAAACAACTGCTAAAGAAGTTAAACTTAAAAAAGTTAAACATTTATTATAAAGTATTGCCAATTTTGAAAACCACTTGCCACAAATACAACTAAAATTATACAATTGAAAAAGTTATGTACTTTCAGCACACAATCAATAGACATATATAATTAAAAAATTAACATATGCAACAACAATTAATTCAAATATTTATCTGTCATTATCAAATTGTGTTTAATTATTTACTGAAATATATCAAATATACATAATGAATGCCATTAATAATATAAATGATACTATCACTTGCAGTATTGATAATGTACATTATTTGCATCTCAATTGCCGCGATTTTGTCACACATCGTGGAAACAATCAACAATGACAAATTTCGAAATAGAGGAATTTAATTCGAGACATTTGCACTTTGAAAAGCTGTTGTTTATTTACCAATACGCGAATGAGTCCGCAGTGAGCACACTCGGATACGCCAAGCGACAGATTCGAACGCCAAGGGAAAAAAAGAAAATAGAGTTCGAAGAGCGCGTAGTCACCGTGGAACATCAGCGCCATTTATTGGCGGAACGCGCCATTTTTGCGAAGCGGATTTTCCAGCGCACTCGCAAAAATTTGATAACAAACGATGCGTAACGAGAGCGTAACGTAACAAGTTCCGACGTAAAACTAGTAGACCGGACGAAACGTTACGAAAACCGTTAAGCGCGGTGTTGTGAAACAGCAATAACACGGGACATAACCTCAAATTGTTCGAACTGAAACGAGACGAATAGGTCAAATGGCGAATTCGAAGCCCGAGTCCGAAGGAGTCTTGATTTAGTTTCTTGCTTGAAAGTTCGACCGAGGCTCAGAAAGGATAGAAATATTGTCGTGCAACTGGTGCTAGGAACACGTACCTGCTTGTTCCTTCGATAGCTCGAATTGTTCAAAATCACGCGCCCACCATTGCTGGCCCACACTGCACCGCTGTCGCGCTGAAAATTGCGTTGGGGAAAATGACCTACCTTTCGCACGATAATGCGATCGCGAACACGATTAGACGCAGCTAGGGCGAATATTATCGACAGCAAGTACGCACGAAGGACGAATTCGATTTGCAGTACTCCACGAGTCGTCGCGACATTCTCGCACTTACGCGGGCGAAGATTGAACAGGTCGGAGATTGAATCCGAAAGTAAGAGATGAGAAACTCCTTCCTCGTTATCAAGTAATATTATAGCGCCATCTAGTAGAAAAAATGTAGAACTTAATAATAACAATGTAGTGCAGGTCGATAATGTTATTGCTCTTTAATTGCTGATGTCCGAGGCACCATTTATGGTCACGAAATTTTATCTAGCGCTGTCGATACTGAATCAATAATAAGTATTTCGTTGATAATCGAAGTCTTACAAAAAACTGACGTAACTTGACAAATTCGGTATATATGTTAACATTATGCAAAAAACAATAATTCTGAGTGAACTGTAGAAAAAGAGAATTATTATTTATTTATCAAACTTTTTACATATTTTTAAAATCTATCTTCATATACCTTAAAGTAAAACATAAAAGAATACACATCTATCTTTATACGCATTCACTCATTTCAAATTTAAAAAAATATATTTTCCAGATTTTACGTGTGACATTTCAATAATTATACTAAGTTTGAATTAGAATAACTTTAAATAATTAAAACTAATTGTTTAAATTTGAAAATACGATTAGTAGTTTTAAATTATTAAATTATTAAGAAATAAATAAATAATTAAATCAATTCATCAAGAAAAAAATTACAATAACTAAAACAATTGTTTTGAAAGCTGGAATCCGCTCCATCCGGCGTGATCCTTATTAAGAAGTTGCTCGAGTAGATTCGCGTGTGACTCATCCTTGGTTTCGCAGACTATTTGGACGCTTGATGTACGATATTCAATCTTATACATAATGATACCGAGGTCCTTCAGTTTCTTAATGAGATTTTCCATAGCTTGCGACTGATTTATCATTTGCACCGTAAATTCCAAGACACGTTTCTGCGTGTACAATCCAACTTGGACGCATTTCTCCACGACAGTCGGGTCGAGATTACCATCGCTCAATAGCAACACCACACTGCGATACAAAGAATTATGATATTATATATCACCGATTAATGCGTGCTTCATCACGACAAAATATTAAAAAAAATAATATTACAATAACAAATGTGATGTTTATCCTAGGGATTGAGAAAATGACTTACTCTTCAAGAAGAGATTAAATAAATATGAAGTTAGAAATAAACCTTAAAGAAGACTATCGAGTTTTAAAGAAACTTACTTTTTTACATTTTTATGAGTCTCGAAAATTTTCGTGTCACCGTACAAGATCGCTGCTAAACCCATTGCTCCCGAACCCTCCACGGTGTACCCTTCGTGCTGGATTACTTGACACATCGCAGCCGCGATCCAGCCTTCCTTCACCGTGATCAAACCGTCGATCAGTGGGTTTGCAATGGAAAACGCATTAGTTCCTATCTTCGGAACTGCTAATTCATCAGCCAAAGTGGAATAATTTGCAGGAACCACTACTGGCTCGCCCGCTTCGCGCGACGTGCTGAAATTCGGACACATTTCCGACTCGATTCCCTACGATTTAAAATCATTCGTCACAATTTACGTAAATTACAAAGTATATTTTTTTCAAATCTTTAAAATCTCCAAATATTGAATTAAAACATGGCTAATTGCATTGAAGTGAGAAAGAATATAATCCGTTAGAATTCATAACTTAAGAAGAATAATTCAACTTACAATAACTATAGTAGATGGTTTTTTTTTCTTGACAACCATTGCAACACCTGCGATCAATGAACCACTTGTAATAGGTACCATAATAACATTTTTCACTTCTTTTGGAACTTCCGCTTCTCCCGAAACTCCAGCTTCTCCCGAAACTCCAGCTTCTCTCGAAACTCCAGCTTCTCCCGAAACTCCAGCTTCTCCCGAAACTCCCGCTTCTCCCGAAACTCCCGCTTCTCCCGAAACTCCAGCTTCTCCCGAAACTCCCGCTTCTCCCGAAACTCCAGCTTCTCCCGAAACTCCTACGTTTTCTAAATTGTGCACATCAACATTTTCAAACTTTTCCATGTCATCTAAAATGTCGAGACCTACGGTTGCTTGGCCAATAATAACGTCCGGATGGTCCTCTCTATTTAAAAAATATTAATTGATTAATTGATTCACGAGAGAACTTTCATGAAATTATCAAAATCAAAATAATAATTCTCAAAATTAATAAGTGATTAAAATGGAAAAATCAAATATTAATTTCTTTAATTTTTGTATAATGGAGAATAGAGAATAAGAAAAAGAAATTATGAAATGTAAAGAAAAAAGACAGAGGAATGGTGAAAATATACATATAATAGTGAAAATACTTTAGTGACAATCCAATAATAAAAAAAGATAACAAGAACCAGAACTAAGCGCAAATGCTGGAACGCAAAAGATGTTATAAAATAATACACAAAATTATATTCTGATAAATTGAAAAAAAGCCAAAATTGTGATCAAAATGTATTTGCGATTATTATGTACTAATTTATAATATCTTTTGCGCTTCAGCATCCACGTTTCTGATTTTGTATATTTTCTATTATTATTTTGTCCTTGAAAAAAAAAACTACACGTTACATTAATTAATAATATTTCAAAAATTTACCCAATGTAAATCATGTCTTCACTGCTTGCGGTATCCATAGCGAATTTCACAGTTTCTTCTAGATTCTCGCCATAGGTTATCACCTTTGAATTGGCGCTTTTCACTAAGTAATCCTGACACATAGTGATTTTCGATAACGATATCATTTTTGGCACTATTACCGTTATAGGTATTTCGAATTGAGGCGCATAATAACAAAGGGCTATAGCAAAATTGCCCAACGAAGCTGATACTATAGGTTTCATTTGGTATTTTGCAAAATGTTGGAGTACAGCATAAGCTGCGCCACGCGCTTTGCAGCTGCCGCAGTGTTGACGCATCTCAAACTTCATGTAGCAGTTTATGTTAAGTGTGCTGAACTTATTTGATATTGCGCGTGTAGGCTGAAAGTAATCACATTCGATAAAAAGTCTATTAAATTTGTACTTTAAAGACGCATAATACGTGAATTCTTTCACTAACTTGATTGCCTTATATTTTAAGAAAACAACTTACAGATTGTAACTGAAAAAACTCATTTTATGCCAAATTTTGTATTAAGTGAAAAAGGAAACACATTTGGCAACTTTGCTCTCAAACACATTTCTGAATTCCGTTAAATTTTTATTCTCTTTACAAAAAATTATTATTATTATACAAAGAAAAACGATAGAATCATTTCTGTATTGAAATATTTAAAGATTAGTCTACATACACTTAATGTATGCTTTCTTAAAAGTTGCCTATCAAAGTAATTAAATATATTGTGAGACATTTTTAATGTCTCATATTTATTAGCTATTTTTAATTTTGTTTAAGACTAAAATTGTTTACCTCGCATGATGTCACTTTTATCATTGTGTTATTACGCAGTTCATTTCTAACCGACTCAAGTTGCTCCAACGTAATTGTTTCTAGATTTGTAATTTGCGTTTCAGAAGATAGAGACCTTTGTAATTTGTGTTTCAGAAGATAGTGACCCTCGGTCAAATTTGATGACACATTAGACTGTAAATCAACTTGGAATTAGTCTCTTAAACTATTTTTTTATAAGCTAACAAGCATTGAATTGAATAAATCGATTAAATTCTAACCGAATCAATTTGCTCCAAAGCATTTTCATGTGTAACTTGCACTTCAGAAGATAGTAAAGAGTTGTCCGTCGAATTTGACGACACAGTAGACTGTAAATCAACTTGGAATTAGTCTCTATTTTTTTATAAGCTAAACAAGCGCTGAATAAATCAATTAAATTACATATAAAAATATCGCGCATCTTCAACGGTACACATTTTGAATTGTTATCATCAAAATATTTTTCGACATTAAAACATGATTTCTACAGTGTATGTAAGAAAATGTAATTTTGTTTATGGTAGTTAATAAAAATTAAAAATAGCTAAGATAAATCGTGATCATACTCCACCCGGTGAAATAAGCATCGCCTCCTCAGACATGGTTTTGCACAAAGTCAAAAATCACTTGTTCCACGTTTTACTTGCGACACATCAACCGTATGACAGTTAATAACGTATTCGATTCGATCGGTTCCAAGATTGAATGTGTTCTTCGGTGGGAAAGGAAAAGGAAGGGGCACGACCTTATTATTAGTATATCGTTCGGAGTTTGTTTGTTGTCATCACAGTGTAATTGTGTCGTTTTTACGAAATCTGCAACCAAACCAACAGCTACAAATAATATATGCCACAATCAGAAGGGATTTCTCCGAATCATATACGATTTATAACAATTTGTAACTGAAATGCGTGTATAATCAGTTACATATCCAGAGTGACTTTCGCTAAGCGTACTTTTCTTGAACGAGCTTCTGGTCAATTTTGAGTTTATTTTTCGAAAAATAGCTTAAAATTATAAAGAAAGAAATAATGTAAACGAAACAAATGTAGTCCTTTTATCATTTGCAAAATTCTGTTGTAAAAATCTTTAACATAATCTCTATTAAAATTTTAAAAAGCTACAATTTGAAAAGAAGACAAATCGAATATATGTTTGTATAAATTTACTTGATTATTTTTAGGCATTCATCTGTGAAATATTTATCACATATTATATATGAACATTTTATCATGCACGTTTAATCAGTCTTGTAACTTCAAAGTAAAATGTTAATGAATATCATGTTTGCATTATATATATTTAATTATTGCCAAACTTCCTTAGTACACATCTTCCACTATTAAAATGTAATACGCTTGAGCAACTCCATTAATTTTCTGAAACTAAAATTCGCAATACTGACATTAATTATAAGGAGGAGATTTCAAACACGGGCTGGAAGTCGCTCAACGTTGGATAGTACTCGTCGAGAAATTGCTTGAGAAGATTGGTATGTTGTATATTTTTCGTCATGCAGACGACTTTGGCATACAGTCTATGGTATGTGATGTCTTTTACAAAAACTTTCTGATTTACCAGATCGTTATGGAGCTGTTCTATATAGTTCGGCCTATTCATAAGTTGTACCGTGAATTCCAAAAGACAATTCATGGCGGTTAACCCGAATTAGATGCAAGTTTCCGTGGTGCTCGGAGAAAGATTACCAGCGCACAATGGTAACGCTATGCACCTGCGATGCAGAGAATTACGATATTATCTTTGTGGCATTAGTTGCAAATTTCAAAATTAAGCATTAAAAAATATAAAGTAATAAATAAATTATGAATATTGATTATATGAATAATAAGTGTATAGGAATTTATGAAAAAATTCACCATTTTCTATCAGACCGCCGGTTCATCATAAGCTGAGCAGATGAGATTGCTGCTAAACCTGCCGCTCCCGAACCCTCGACGACGTACTTCTCATCTTCAATTAACTTCAAAATCGCGGCTTCTACCCACTCTTCCTTGACCGTGATCATGGTTTTGATCAATGAATTCGCATTGTAAAACGCGTTATGTCCTATCACAGGAATTGCCAATTCATCAGTCAAGCTGCAAAATTTTAAAGGGACTTCCACTGGTTTGCCCGCTTCGCGCGCTTTGCTGAAATTCGGACACATTTCTGACTCGACTCCCTACGATTGAAAATTATTCATTATCTATAATTCACAAAAGTGACTAATAAATAATTAAGTAAAAAAAGTAATCTGTTTACAATTGATGGCTCGACAAAAATAATTGTGCACTTACAATAACCATTGTAGTTGGACTTGTTTTCTGTAAAGCTACTGCTATACCCGCAATCAATCCACCACTTCCAACAGGTACAATCACCGCATCAAGATCAGGCATCTCGCGAGCGATTTCCAAACCTAAGGTTCCTTGTCCAATGATGATGTTGGGATGATCATCCTTATTCAAAATTATTTACATTAGAAATAATTAACAATAAAAAAAATGTTTAATTTTTTCTTTTGTTTTTTTGATTAAATAAGTTGTTGAATAGTAAAATAATGTTAAATTTATCAAAATTTTTTAAAATGTTATTTTATTTAATACTATTTTTAAATACTAATTATTATTTCAAAGATTTAGGTACCCAATGTAAACCAGGTCTTTTTTCTGTGCAATTTCCATTGCGGTTTTTGTAGCACTTTTTATATCATCGCCTTCGATTATTACTTTGGCGTACTGCCCGGACAATTCTTTACACATTCTGATTTTTGATATGTGTGCTCTGTTTTCGGCATTACCACTTTCACTGCGACTTTTAATATATTTGCATAATGGCAAAAAGCTATAGCAAGATTGCCCATTGAAGCCGATATTACCTCTTTCTTCGTCTGTGTTTTTAAATGTTGTAGCAAAGCATAACACACGCCGCGTCCTTTGCTGCTGCCGCCGTATTGGAATATTTCGTGCTTGAAATATAAATCGATGTTCCTTAGCGTGTGGTGCATCACGCATGATCTCTGAAAAGCAATTTTAGATATTTTATATATCCAAATTTTTTTCTTTATTCAATTTCTTTCTCAATTTCGCATTTAAAGTTTTAAGATTTATCAATTTTGAGATTGTTGTAGCTGAATTATTTTTAATTTTGTTAAATGCAACTTAGGAATAAATTAAATTTAAAAATATCCTTGCCTCACATGGAATGTTTTAAATATAATTATTTATCATAATCGCCGCCATTTCAATGTCCATATACGTTATTTTCTGTGGAAATGAAAATTGAACTGATGCCGTGTCGTCTGTTACGGATTCAATGTTACATGTATTAAAAATTGCACTCAAATTGCACTCGACTTCTGTTTTTTCCATCTTTTCTTCCTGTCGTGAAGGACTGTGAAAAAAATACACTTCAACAATCATTATCTTCAATAATAATTATATTTTTGATACCATTTGTACGCGCTTAAGCGAAATTTCATTATCCAAATCCATGATTGCAGTGTAACACTGAAAATTACTTACTTGTCGCGTAAATCACTTACGACTGCAGATTATCTATGTCAATCTATAATAACCAACTCGATTTAACTGAGTTTCGAAAACAAAAATATTCTTCAAGGGAGAGAATGTCTGTGTTGACAATCTTATTGTCAACATTGTCATTCAAACAGAAACTAATATTTCTATTTATTCATTATTCTTCACTATTTCGTCTAATTGTGTGACATTTATGAAAATATAATGCACATTTTATTGAAATGCACGATATATTTGATCAATTTCGTAATAATAATTTTAAAAAGTAATCCATGTCATAAGCAATTAAAAACTAACCTAACCATCTGTAACCATTTCTCTATTTTTATGATTTTTATATCGGACGATTGAAATAATTGGTAATATCACTGCTCTTCAATTACCACTGTTGCAATTACCTCTGAGCCCCCAGGGCCCCTGGACAGTTATGAAAGTTAAACATTTCTAACTTCAAGAAATATGAACAGCTGTTACTAGGGCGCAGTATGCGCGTTTTTATAGATTCGGTGCATTTAGAGTAAATCATCATCTCAGCCGATTCAACATTTTGCTAAATTCAGCGTGTTTACGTATGTTTGTTGGTGTTTCGCTGGTGGTTCACTGGTGTTCACCGCTTTTGCATCACGATGGACTCCATTCCGAGAACGCATAAGGGTATCCTTTTCTCTTAATATTTTCCGGCTAATTTTTTGAGTGCACTGTTTATGCTTTTAAATGTAAATATAGAATAAACATTAATTAAACATATATAAATGTATATATAAACATTTGTTCCACTCTGCTCAACAAAAGTTAAGAAAAATAGTTAATATTAATTAAATGATTAATATAGAAATGTTTAAAATATTTCCTTCACACATTACGAATCATATATTGAACATCTCTTACATACATTGTCAAAGTCTGTCAGAAAATTGAATTAGCATTATGTCACTTATTTTACAGTGAGAACCAAAATAGTGCAAGTTCTATTTGTAAAGCAATTTTAGTTGTGCACAAAAATTTACAGCAGACTGAATCTCTATATGATATAACACTTTATTAAATCAATTCTCCAACTTTTTTATTTAATTTTTAATCTATAATTCAAGAAAGACATTTTGCATAAAAATTTTATTTTACTCATTTCTTTTTTATTATATGAAAAGCCATTATTTCTCTGTGTCTAGCATTCTTAATGGATATTTTTTATACATTTGAATCTTTGTAATAATTTTATGTATATTTGTTGCAGACATTGAAGCTCAGATAAGAGAAATACAGTCAAAAAAGAAGGAGCTTCTGAACACAGCATCTGAGAAAGATCAAGTTGCTTTGGGAAAAACTGGTTTCTATGATCAAGATATTTATGATAGCAGTAATAATAAATTTGATGGCTACGTTACATCGATTGCAACCAACGATGAGATTGAGGTATTACATTACTATTTATTTTTTACAATTATAATATTGAAAATTTTTCTATAAAACTGTATTTTTTGAGATGCATTTGCTGGAAAGTTAAACATTGTCGTTTTAATTGCTAAAAATAGATATAGCTTTGTATGTAGTAAAAGGACAAAATTTTGAAGAAAATCTTTTCTGCGAATAGGATTATGATCCGTTTGCGGACAAACGACCCACCATAGCTGATCGAGAGGAGAAAGATTATGATCCATTTGCCGACAGACGACGGCCTACCATAGCTGACAGGGAAGATGAGTACCGACAGAAAAGACGGAGAATGATTATCTCTCCTGAACGTGTCGATCCCTTTGCTGAGGGTTGGTATAATTTATGAGAAATTGGCTACGATAAAAAAGTGATAAATAAGTAATTCATTTGCTGAACGATCAGTATATTAAATATGCGTGCAACTGTTTAACTGATTTCAATCAATTAACTCGAAAAATATTAATTAATGTGATTTCTTTTTTGATTAAAGGTGGCAAGACTCCTGACGTCGGTTCTAGAACATATACCGAGATTATGAGAGAACAAATGCTCAAAGGTGAAGAGACAGAGGTGTGTTAAAGTATTTTAATCTTTTTTAATATAAAAGCGTTTAAGGCAAATATATAATTGTAGAACTTCTAATACTATATATTTCTTGTATACACATTTTCTTACAGCTGAGAAAAAGATTAGCAGAAAAGGCTAAGGATGGTACTCTGAAAGCTAACGGCGAACCCAAACCAGCTCCTAAAAAGAAAGGTCGTTGGGACCAAACGGATGATACTCCCATACAGAAAAAATTATCTGGAACTTCAGCAACACCCACATCCTGGGATAACGCAGATGTACGTTTGCAACATTATCCTTATGAACTTTTATTCTCTTTTTACTTAAATCTACTTAATTTAATACGAATTTCATGAAATTTCTTTAAAATTATCTATTAAATTTCCCATAAACTTGATTAATCTAAAACAATATGATATAAATCCAATTTCTTACCTTTTTTGTTGTAATTTTTTTATAATTGTAGGTAACGCCAGCTGTTATTAGATGGGATGAAACTCCAGGTCATGGTAAAGGGGCAGAAACCCCCGGAGCTACACCGGGAGTGAGTACGAGAATGTGGGACGCCACACCAGCACACGCAACACCGGGAGCCGTGACTCCAGGAAGGGAAACGCCTTCGCATGAAAAAACTGTGACGAGTCGAAGAAATCGTTGGGATGAAACTCCGAAGACTGAGCGAGGTTTGGTTGTATTATATCGTTACTTGTTTTACAAATAATGAATTGTAGAATTAAATATATATTCACATTCTTATTGAATAGTAGTTTTATATTTGATATTAAAGTGTAAATTAACATATTCAATATGTCACTAACCTTAGAAACTCCTGGACATAACAGCGGTTGGGCAGAGACTCCAAGAACCGATCGCGTCGCCGGAGATTTGATACAAGAAACTCCGACACCGTCAGCGAGTAAGCGACGAAGTCGATGGGACGAGACACCGTCGAATCAAACGCCGGGCTCGATGACGCCGCAGACCCCGGCGACGCCTCTCACGACGCCTCATCAGACGACGATATTGACTCCGAGTGCCGTCACACCGACGGGACCCAAAGCGATGGGTCTGGCTACTCCGACACCAGGACATTTGATGTCTATGACACCCGAACAACTGCAGGCTTATCGTTGGGAGCGCGAGATAGACGAACGAAATAGACCTTTGTCAGACGATGAGTTGGATGCGCTGTTTCCTCCCGGATACAAGATCCTACAGCCACCAGCAGGTGAAAGAGAAAATTATTATTTTTTCTTAGAAATATCTTCTAAAACAGATTTAATACGTTTTAGAAATTATTTTTATAAAAAACTGAAAACTCTCTCTTTGAGATTTTTTAATTAGAATGTATGTGTAATTGTTCTATGCACTTTTTTAGGATACATACCTATTCGCACACCTGCTAGGAAGCTCACTGCAACACCCACACCCATCGCGGGCACGCCTCAAGGTTTCTTCATTCAAACGGAGGATAAAAGCGCCAAGTATGTCGACAATCAACCAAAGGGCAATTTGCCATTTATGAAACCAGAAGACGCGCAGTATTTCGATAAACTGTTAGTTGACGTGGACGAAGAAACGTTGAGTCCTGAAGAACAGAAAGAAAGAAAAATTATGAAATTGCTTTTAAAAATAAAAAACGGAACACCGCCAATGCGTAAAGCTGCTTTGAGACAAATAACGGACAAAGCAAGAGAATTTGGTGCTGGACCGCTCTTCAACCAGATCCTTCCGCTTCTTATGTCACCTACTCTTGAAGATCAAGAACGTCATCTGCTAGTCAAAGTTATCGATCGCATTCTTTATAAGTTGGACGATTTAGTACGACCGTATGTGCACAAGGTAATTGTTTTTATTGTTATGAATTTATTATCATTTTATTTCACTTCTTCAATCTTACTTAATTTTTATTACACTATTCAAATTTTTAGATTCTTGTCGTCATCGAACCTCTATTGATCGATGAGGATTACTATGCTCGTGTCGAAGGTAGAGAGATTATTTCAAATTTGGCAAAGGCTGCGGGTTTAGCCACAATGATCTCTACAATGAGACCAGATATCGATAATATTGACGAATACGTACGCAATACCACAGCAAGAGCATTCGCTGTCGTCGCATCCGCTCTTGGAATTCCTTCCCTTCTCCCTTTCTTAAAAGCTGTTTGCCGCAGTAAGAAATCGTGGCAAGCGCGACACACTGGTATCAAAATCGTGCAACAAATAGCTATTTTAATGGGCTGTGCCATTCTGCCACATCTGAAAAGTTTGGTAGAGATCATAGAACATGGTAAGTAAAAGTAATATAATGTAAATATAAATTGTCCTTTTTTTAATATTATATATATGGAAATGTTTATTTTGGAAACTAATTATGGCATGTAATTTTATAGGTTTAGTCGATGAGCAGCAGAAAGTACGAACAATTACCGCATTAGCCATTGCTGCACTGGCTGAAGCAGCAACACCATACGGTATCGAAAGCTTCGACTCGGTGCTAAAACCGCTTTGGAAAGGTATCCGCACGCACAGAGGAAAAGGTTTAGCAGCATTCTTAAAAGCTATCGGCTATCTCATCCCATTGATGGACGCAGAGTACGCGAATTATTATACCAGGGAAGTAATGCTAATCCTTATACGTGAATTCCAGTCGCCCGATGAAGAAATGAAAAAGATTGTGTTGAAGGTAAGATATTAATATTTACCATTTTTACTGTATCATATTTTATAAATTAGTTGCATCGTCCCAAAGTGAGTTTTTTAACATTTTGTCTAAATTGTATTTAAAAAATAGGTAGTCAAACAGTGTTGTGCAACGGATGGTGTGGAAGCTCAGTATATAAAGGATGAAATTCTGCCTCACTTCTTCAAACATTTCTGGAATCATCGCATGGCATTAGATCGTAGAAATTACAGACAGGTAACGAGCTAAAATATTACTACGAAATATTTTAATACTTTTAAATACACAAATTAATAAATTCTTAACTACGTGAATTACAAAATAAATAAAATTGCAGCTTGTAGACACGACGGTAGAAATAGCCAACAAAGTGGGTGCATCAGAAATTATTAACAGAGTAGTGGATGATCTAAAGGATGAAAATGAACAATATAGAAAGATGGTTATGGAAACCATCGAGAAGATAATGGGCAATTTAGGAGCAGCAGATGTCGATTCTCGTCTAGAGGAGCAGCTCATTGATGGAATTCTATATGCCTTCCAGGAGCAAACAACCGAGGTCGGTTGAAATTTGAATAAAACTGATATAAACTCTAAGTAATCGATTCGTATAAACACACAAATAAATTGTGGATTATTTATTGAAAGGAAGAAAGAAATTGAAATTAATTTTGTTTGTAGGACGTAGTTATGTTGAATGGTTTTGGTACGATTGTGAACACATTAGGTAAAAGAGTAAAGGCATATCTTCCTCAAATATGTGGTACAATATTGTGGAGGTTGAATAACAAATCGGCAAAAGTAAGACAGCAAGCTGCAGATCTTATTTCGCGTATCGCAGTGGTCATGAAGACTTGTCAAGAGGTAAGGGATGCATTATAGATTATATTTTTCAATTTTCCACGAAATTTGAAATAAATTTACAATATAATCGCAAAACAATATAAATGATGTATATGATACTTCCAGGAAAAATTAATGGGACACTTGGGAGTCGTGTTGTACGAGTATTTAGGTGAAGAATATCCAGAAGTATTAGGTAGTATTTTAGGGGCATTGAAAGCCATTGTTAATGTCATAGGAATGACGAAAATGACACCACCTATCAAAGATTTATTACCAAGACTTACTCCTATCTTGAAGAACAGACATGAAAAGGTAAAATACGAATATATTTTAGTTCTTTTACTCTCAAATTTGATATTATTCATGTCGTTGTATAAAATAAAATTGTAATCAGTTGTAAAGTTGAATATTTCTCGAACACACTTGCCTTGTTTTATTTCTTTTTACTTAATAAATTGCTGATTTTGTTTTGATTAGGTGCAAGAAAATTGCATTGACCTCGTGGGCAGAATCGCTGATCGTGGTCCCGAATATGTTTCCGCACGAGAATGGATGAGGATATGTTTCGAATTGTTAGAATTATTGAAAGCCCACAAAAAGGCTATTAGAAGAGCGACAGTAAATACTTTTGGTTATATCGCCAAAGCTATTGGGTAATTTGGTCATTTAACGCTGTCTATACGTATGTATAAAATGTTTACATTTATATATAGCTTTTTAATTTTTCTTCAACAGACCGCACGATGTGTTAGCGACACTTTTGAATAATTTGAAAGTCCAGGAACGTCAGAATCGCGTTTGCACAACAGTGGCTATTGCCATCGTTGCTGAAACGTGTAGCCCTTTTACAGTATTACCTGCATTGATGAACGAATACAGAGTACCTGAGTTAAACGTACAGAATGGAGTATTGAAATCCTTGTCATTCTTATTCGAGTATATCGGTGAAATGGGTAAAGATTATATTTACGCTGTGAGTCCATTGCTAGAAGATGCACTTATGGACAGGTGGGTGTTTAAACCGCAACATACAAGTAATATACTTTTCTTCAAGCATCTTTTTGTGCGACTAATTTAGGAATAATTTGACATAATAATTTCAACTAACTCTCAAATTTTTTCTCATCATTTTTCAGGGACTTAGTACACAGACAGACGGCCTGTGCTGCTATCAAACACATGGCATTAGGCGTTTATGGATTTGGATGCGAAGATGCGTTGATACATTTATTGAATCATGTGTGGCCGAATGTTTTCGAAACTTCACCACATTTGGTCCAAGCATTTATGGATGCTGTGGATGGATTGCGCGTTGCGCTTGGACCTATCAAGATTTTACAGTATACACTACAAGTACGTAGTTATATTAATAGAATGCACGCATCGGTAACTTTTCGTTCGCGAGAAGTATTAGAAGTGCATTATTGTTTACATGTATTATATTTCTTTTTTTATTACAGGGTTTATTTCATCCAGCCCGTAAAGTTCGCGACGTCTACTGGAAGATATACAATTCTCTTTACATTGGTGGACAGGATGCTCTTGTAGCTGGTTACCCTCGTATTATGAATGATCCAAAGAACCAATATATAAGATATGAACTGGATTATGTACTGTAATAAGGAACTGATGATTATAAAGTACAGTTCTTACATTTCTGAAGCTCATCGTTGTAAAGATGAATTCATGAGAATTGCAGAATTCTTTTTCGCAAGTCTGTGAAATCAACATCTGGATCTTGAAAAAAGTTAGTAATATTGGGAAGCTGTTGGGACAGATTGCAGAATAATGAAGTATGTAACGTAAATGCAGTCAATTCTGATGGTTAATGTAAAAGGCTGATAATGTATTACTCTAAGGCTTTGGGCGCCTTGTTGCAATATTAAATTATAATATCAGAAGCGAGAAATTGTATAAGTTTGTTCCTCGCCACTATTTCAGTTTGATAGTATAGATTATTATGCCACAAACTTCTTTTAATTTTGTTTTACGTTAGAAAATAAACATACAATACAATTTACATGTGCCATACATATTCCACTAAAATTGAGTTACATAACAATTGATTAAGATTTATATTTTTTTTTTCCATGAATCAAAATGCAAGTTTTTGACATTTTTTACGTATTTATATTATTAAGCACAGATAGTGGTGAAAAAAAAACTAATTTATTTCTCGCAGATAATAAATTTATATAATTCCTCGCTTCCGTATCGAAATGACTGCAACGGAAGATCAAGAAGAGCTTTACGTTGCAGATTTATGTATCATGTAGATATATTGACGGTTCTGATATTGATTGTGAAGACATCAAAATGTATCAGCGCCACATAGTCTGTGGTCTTAGATTGTAGTTTTTCTAATTTTAGATCTCTTGAATTCTAAAACTTTTTTAGTTTTGGATTTTTTGGGTGCTAAGATTTTTGTCAGCGTCTGTACAGAGATCTTTAAACTCTGTATTTTTCAAATTTTAAGTACCGTGAGATCTTCAGTCAGGTTTATTGAATTGTCCTAAGTTCTTGGAATGTGCTATTCCAAGCTAGAAAAACTATTAAATAGGAATATTCGCTAATAGCTAAATTAAATATAGATTTTTTGAGGGATTTTTGACATTGCAATTTCTCAATTCAATATTTTTGTTGTGCAATATAAATGTGCTATTTAACACGATAATTTGATATATAATTGCTTATGAAATTGATCTGTTAATATTTTGAAAATTCTATAAAATTGTTATTGATATAAAAAGAAAGAAGAGATGAAACAGAAAGTAAAGAGAGTACAAGTTATTGAAACAAATTTTTGTAGCTTATTAATTGTCAGAAAAGTACTAATAAAAATATTCCTAAATGTTTTTATAATAAACTTCTTTGTAACTTTCAACATATTAGAGATCAATTTTGTGAGTCACTGTATTCTTGACGATTAGCATAAATGTTATTCACCAAAAATACGTTGCTAAACTGATTTTTGTTATTGTTTGACGAAGATAAATATTAATAAGTAAAAAGTTATTGTAAATAATTTTCTTGCGCTGTATGTTAAAAATGATCGTATATATATTAATTATAATAAAAATATTTCATATAGAAAATTAGAAAAAAAGGATTCTTTCATCTAATGATAAATTAAAATTCCAAGCGTAGAACAAGCGCAAATGGTGTCAGCAGTTTTTATTGATTGATCACAAATATACATAAATTGTGTTGTATATTTATCATCTTATACCCTCTAAAATTTCGCTTTACTGATTTTTACTTAGGAGGGATAAACATGCCAGAGATGCCCATTGCTTCAATTTTACGATTTAAAAGTTTTTCAAGATTAATCTCCGAAAATATAAACAAAATTAATTTAAAAAATAACTCTATACATTTATTATATACATATATATAATACATCGCATGTTCATAAATTTATAAATTGCTAGATCCACTGGATTCATTGATTGTAAATTTAATAAAAATAAGACATATATTAAATAGATAATAAATAATATAAATAATAAATAAATTTATAAACTTTTAAAGCATTTTTGTAGAGCCCTAAGAAAACGTTATGTCTCAAGTCATAATTTCCTAGAATATCATAGAATTACATATTCACAAATACTAGATTTCTAATTTCACACATATTAATATGTGCTTTGTTTTCACACAGCCTACGATAGGTCAGTAGATTTAGCAATATATGAATTTATCAGAAATCAAGTTGCATGTTCCAGCACAATCGTGATATTTGTTTAGTTTAACACTTGACAATGAAACCCACGTAATGTATGAAACAATTATATGCTCAATTGAATGCTCAATTGTATGTCATTTCTTCTCTATTTTAGAATGAAGAAAGATAGCGGAGGTGACAAGCTTAAGAACTTATTTAACACTCAAGCAATCGGGATTAATAAAGGATCAATTACCCAACAAGGTCATCTCACCCATATTTACCCTGCGTGTCGAAAGATTTGAGAATAATCGAGTATCGTTTGACGAATGTTCGCGGTAGCACCAAACATCGCATCTCGAACAATGGCAAATTGGATTGTTACATCGACGATTAGTTACAACGATCAGCGACGACTCTTCGATTCTTAGAACGGTTTTATAAAATGTGGCCTTAAACTTTACAAAACATTGGGCGCGCGACTTCACTAATTAAGAAACACCTCGTTATTTTATTACATTAAGGTATCCTTCTCCGGATTCACGAATCCAAAGTTTCCAAAATGCCAAGGGTTAAAGGCTCCAAGAACTTTCGAATTATTGAGTCTTGAAGTGTACTCTTTTTACATACTTGTTAGATTTATAAATTACATGTTAAAACTTTCTTTTCCTCCTAAATGCCAATTGATTTTTCTTTTAACTGAAAAATTTCGGAAGACTAAAATTTTATAACGCGTAGAGCATACAAGACTTGTTAAAATTCTTGAACCTTACAATTATTCGTCTGTGTGTGAATTTAGGACTCTTGATTAGTTTATGTATTCGGACTTCATAATTGCGGCAATACTCTGTAAATGCTATCGTGACAGACTTGTGGGAATGCTATTAATTTTTTTTTTTTTTAAAGTTTTGAAGATCCTTTAGACCCTTACACGCTCCAAAGATAAGTGTCTTTGGATTTATCTTATAATTCCTTACATATATTACGTTTAACAGGCTATTAACTTGTAGCGATGCGATTAAAAATTATGATAACTTTGGTATGTGACTATATTAATAATATATAAAGAGGCTCAGTCCTTCCTAGCGCACATGATTAATACTTGTCATTAATTAATAAAAAGTACTCGAGTATTTCCTGTACGTATTCGCTGTACGTTATCATTACGAACATCTCTGTTGTTTTCAAATCCGTTCGCGGTTTTTCTTTAATCTGATTGTAACATAGATAATGGTTTGTAACATAGAGAATAGCTAATCGTAACATAGATCGAGAACGTGCAATCCAAGAAATGAAATCGAGAATATACATAAACCAAAGACAATTTCTCTGCTTGATATTTCTAGACATCATTTTTTGGGATTGTACGTTTTTTTAAATTTCATGATTTGGATCCAAAATTCTTGATAACATGAATGGTTTGGACCCTGCTTTTTTCGAACGTCTGATATCTCGGATGTCATTTTTCTTTCCCATGCATACATGCTTTCATAAATTTTATTGCAAAAAGATTTACCTGTTGAACGTCTGGAAGTGAAGACATCTAAATTCTAAGTGCCATCAAATCCAAACTCTAAATGATAAAACTAGATTTTTGTTTGTTTCTTAGATCCTGGGGTTTTTTTAAAACACATTCAGACCCTGCACTCTTTGGATCTGAAGTTCCTTCCAATTAACGATTACAACGTATCTATGAAAAATAATAATAATCTCCCCATTGATCTAAAATATTTGATATAAAAAATGTTTGAACTCTTCGGAAGTCAAATAATGCTCGTGTTGTTTCGAGAAGTCTCTTCTCAGTCCTTTCATTCTGCGCACACTTGGACGTTCGTGTATCAAATGTATAGTGAGAAAAAAATGTAAAAGTTCACATTACAAACATTTAGCTGGTTGATAACAGACAAGTTCTCGACATTCGACTGCACGTAGCATCTCTATGCGAGTGTTAAAAATAAAATGATGAAATGATGGAATATTAAAAAATTAATAGAATTTTTTTCAATACCTACCTAATGGATGCAAATTGATGAAGATGGACAGCGCAGAGCAGATATCGAAAAAAAAAAGGAAGTGTAGGAAAAGTAAGAAGCGCCGAGCAAACATGTCAAACGAAACGGACATTCAAAACATCAATCAGAAAGGCGCGACGATTGCCGTCGCCTCGCCTCTGCTCGACGGTAAAGAGGCGCACTCGTGCCATTTGTTTGTGTGGGGATCGTAGCACTCGACAGTAGAGATCGTGATCTGCGTGCGATAGAAATTGATTTCTTGCGACTGGTCGCCGCCTATAACGTAGAGCCGACTGTCGGCCGCCGCGACCGCCGGATAAAACTTGCCCATGCTCATGGGAGCGACGGCAGCCCATTTGTTCTGAAACAAATCAATTAGAAATCAATAAGGATTCTTCTGTCTATCGTTCTTTATTTATCGATTGTCAAGAATTCGTATGCAAAACCAGTTACTTTTTGCTAAGAAGCGAAGTTGTAGAAAACAGCGCCCCAAATATTTTGATGATTGAGTCTTTATTGTATTAATCGCGATTAAAATAAAAAATTTCTTTAAAAAAACGAACAGAATTAACTAATAAATGATAAAGAAAAATAAATTACCTTCTCGAAGGAGTATCTTTCGACTGATGTTAAGACTTCTTGATTTTTACTAGTACCGCCAACAACATACATGTGCCCATCGAGGATGGTGATTCCCATTTGTGAGCGTGGGGTGAGCATCGGTGCCAAATCGTTCCATTCTCTGGTGACAGGATTGTAACTCAGCACATCCTGACGATGTCGGCTGTTATGAGTGCAGCCACCCACAATATAAATTAATCCTGTAAAGAATTCGTTAATTAGAGCCGAGAAAAATAATATTGTAGAAATAACAGTATAATATTATAAAACAATAGTTGAAGTGAAAATAATAGTTAACAATTTTCGCGCTCCGACAGTTGCTTCTTACTGCCTTTTTAACTTTGTTTTTGAAGAACTACAATAATAATCGATATGACAGGACATTACTTAAAAAAAAAAAAAGAGAGACTTACCTTCGTATGCGACGACACCCATACTGAATCGTGGCTCCGGAAGGTAGCCGTCGAGAGTCCACGTGTTAGTAATCGGATCGTATATCTCAATGGAACCGCCAATATCCTCGCCCACCCATCCGCCGAATGCGTACAAGCAGTTATCCAAGGCACAGAGACCGAAGTCGCATCTGGGTTCTTCCATGCAAGCGATCGATGTCCATACGTTGTCGCGAGGATCGTAGCACTCGCAATTGGCAATTATGCAGGACTCCAGCTCACCGCCGACGACGTATACTTTGCCGTCCAGCAGGGCCACTCCAGGTAGAATGCGCCCTATGCTGATTGGGGCCACTTCGCTCCATTCTCTAAAGAAATATTAATTTCTTGTATTAGAAATTAAGATTCTACCTCAGCTGCTTTTATGTAGACAAAATAATTTGACTGCAAAAAGAAAGAATTTACCAATTAACACATTTAACATATTTAAAAAAACATGTCTTTTGCTTGTACGCATTTAAATCACTCTTTTACACTTTAGAATAAGTGATAGAGCGGTTTAGTTAACTATAATGAAGACAGATTAAAAACATACTTTTTTTTCTATTCTCGTAGATCTCATTGATCTCGCGTAAAGAAACTTGGTTAATTGGGTTTCATCTCAAGATTGGAACAGAGAATAATTGAAATAAATAAAATATTGCCGTTATACCCGGTGAATATGTCGTATTTCTCAATGGTTTCGTAAGTGCTCTCAGTGGTTCTGCCCCAGCTGTCCGCAGAGTGCTCCCGCTTGGATCCGCCGATCACCAGAATGTTCTTCTTGGCACAGACCCTGGGCTGAGCGTGAAGAGGCACCAGGCAACCTTTATTCGAGACTAGATCCTTCTGTATGGATCGCAACGCTACGATCAGACTTGCGTCCTTGCATTCTAGGATGATACGCTCTAGCCTCGCTAATGAACACAGTCGCAAGCGTATATGGCCAAGGATCTCAAATACATAGCATCGCCGCGCAGGGATGTCGTGAATGATCCAATTGTACGCGGCCTGGAAGACCTGTAAAAGGCAAAAAAAATTATCAAACATAATCTTCGTTACATATATTTGTATAGTGTCTCCTATTTTTATTTTTTTAAGCTAGTTCCAAAAAAAATTATTCCTGATCAAAGAGCAAAGTAAAGTTTTAATTTAAAAGGCTTTGCTTACGTATTATTGATTTTATCTTTTCAATTTTCAGATCTGTTAAGTTGTAAAATTGCACCAAGATGCACTTGATTTATTCAATCTTTCGAAATAACAAACCTGGCATTCAGTATCTATGTGAATGTAATCGCTACTGAGAAAATGAACGAGATGCTCCTTGGGTAGATCCAGAAATTCCTCCTCCTGACAGACTTGTGGAAAATTGACTTCTATAAAGCGTAGGGCAGTCTCCAGAAGATCCAGTCTGTTATGTGCTTCTGCGAATCTATAATTAGAAGCAGCAACAAATATTATTGTATAATTTGAATTCTTGAAACAACATTTCGTTATTTTTACATACAGATGACAACATTATTGAACAAGACGTCTCTTAAAAATGTACATCTTACAACTTTCCTGTTACGTATTATTTTCCGCGGTAGATTCGTATTAAATTCCTTAATCTCATTTATAAACTCACCTGTAAATTCCAAGGGCGTTAGAATAATGCAGCTGTTGCTTGAGATAATTGATACAGCCGGCTACTACGTCGTCTAGCTCGAGCATGTCGGCGGCAGCAAATAGCTCCTGTACATTATCTTGAGTGATGTCCACATTGCCGCTGTAAATAAAGTCCACCAGCTGAGAAAGTATATGAGGAGAGATCGAGTGGATTTCCACGAGTTCTTGTTGCTCCTCCACCAGCCCGACGGTAAACATGGCATTGAAGTAGGCGCTACCAGCGGCCAGGACGGATCTGTGAGCCCTGATGACTTTGCCATCGGCGACCAGTCCCACATCGCTGAACTTATTCTCCAGTCTCTGTGCATTGAGATTACGCAAGAGCTTCGAAGGATAGTGGCCAACAGTATAAACAACGCTGGACACGTCCGATGATGGCTTCACCGGCTGGCTGGTAAAACTCGCATTTGAGTTGTGGCCATTCTTTAGGGTTGGCGCTACGCCATCCGCCATGAAACCATCAAGTTGTCCTTTATCCACAGAACCTGCAAGTTTTTGAATAAGTACAATGCTGATTCACACGACACAGTATTTTAGAAGATATTTTAATAAGTTTGATTTGATAACACAAAAATGTAAAAATCTAAAAGTTTGCTGTAAATATAGAGAACAATAAAAATTTATAAAAGTTAATTTGAATGTAATGCTTAATATGAAGCTGTAACAATCTGTTACTCCAGCAGTTCATAAGTTTTATAGTCCTAAACTTAATGCAAAAGCTTTAACTTATTAAATAACTTTTGTTTTGTTAAAATATACATTTACAAATGTAACTTTTATATCAGTAAAAGTTACCTGTACTCAAGATAAAGAATTATAAATTGTTCCTCTAAAAAAAAAAATATTTTCAAACATTTAAGTCATACTTTGTTTACTTCAACGAAAACTTTGTTTTTATTTGAATTCAGTGAAGAAAAGAAATATAAGTCATTAACAAGAAGTTGACACTTTTGGATAAATATCAAAATAGAGAATTATCTCATAGATTTTTTTACATTTATCTAACTTTAATTAAAAAACTTAAGGACTTGAGAATGTAAACATATGTGCTTTTAAAAATTTCCAGCTGATTACATAAAAAAAGTGACTTGAAAAATGTTATGATTTAATGTTTAATAAATTTATTTTATTAGTAATTTAATTAAAAAATTAAATTATTAAATAAAGATTGCTTTGTTAGATACTCACGACATAAACGTGAAAGCACCCTGTAGACGCTGTTAAATGATTTTGTGTTATTTTTCTCCTTTAGGCGCATCACTATCACCACATTTTTGACCAATTCACAGTTCGATTTTTAATTCTCGTACAAATAAACTGTTCGTTGAGATGTCGTAAAATTGCTATCATCCACTAAATTAAGTAACCAGTTCTTTTATGAATAAACTTGACTCACACATCAAATCACGTCAAATAACCTATTTAAGTACAGGAACGTAGTTGCAAGCCGAGACAAGAAGATATCAATGTAGCCACGAAAAGAAATCCCTGCTTGATTCACTCTAGTGCTTTTAATTTTAATAGTTTACATTCATGAATCACTTTAAGGGCACATTCAGATAAACTTGCATAGCGCACATGCCACGGATATATGAGATTGATGACAGATCTTTCATCTCAAACATTTGCTGAAAACTGCCTTGATGTTTCCGAATTCGCACGCTGACATCATTCACGTCATCATTATGCGAGTTTATTCTCGTGAGGGTGTGGCGTGGAGCAAATCGTGGGGTCTGTAAAGATCCATACTCATTTTCATAAAAGGTCATATTATGTTCGCTGAGATCGGATTGGTTGTCTCCGTTTAAAATCTGTACAAGAATATGCAAGTGTGAGCTGGTTGACAGTCGTATAGGTAGTTTATCAGCTTCATTATTTGCTTAATCAGTTAAACAGTTAATTGAGTATTCTTATTAAATGTGTCGTTCGCGATAAATTTTTAGTTTAATAGTTGGTTTATAAAATAAGAAAATATAAAGGAATGCAAATGATTAATATTGAGGGCACTTTTAGATCTTTACGCGTCTCCCTTGAGTTCTTTAATAACGTTCCAATAATCGAGGGAAATTGTAAGACAGCACGGGAGAATAAAAAAGCAAAAGATAGCTAGGAGTATTTGTCAACGTCAAAACGTAGTCGTCCTTTTCCGTTAAAATATGCCAGGGTAAGCACTATCTTTTTGAGGAACATTAATCTTTTGCATAACTGCACACGTAGATATTTATAACCAACAATTTTATTTTGTTACTGTTTTCTGACAACATAAAAACATAATCTATAATTATTCATACTAACAACAAATGATTGTTTTGTAGAGAGTTGACACTGTAATATGTAATATGTTCAAACTCAATTTGCTTCTATCGCTTAATAAAGCTACGGAACGATAGACATTTGAGATTTATATAATGTACACAGGGTTACAGAAATGTCTTTGGATCACATGTTCTGCTCTCGCTGCAGAGAAGGCTTCGTTGCGCATGAAAAAATTGTCAATTCCAATGGTGAATTATGGCATCCGCAATGTTTTGTGTAAGTATACACATGCATACATCAATAATCCATTTTTGGATTCAAATTAGATTTTACAAACTCTAGTATGCACCAAACATTCGTTTTTTGCTTTTTTTATTAAAAAAATTACTCAAAGATTATTTTTTATTTTCTGATTTCTTGAATTCATTCATAAAATACCATTTTTACAGATGTGCACAGTGCTTTCGGCCATTTCCAGATGGAATCTTCTATGAGTTTGAAGGCTACAAATATTGTGAACATGACTTTCATGTTTTGTTTGCTCCCTGCTGTGGCAAATGCGGTAACATAGCCTTATATTCATTTAATTGCTATAATTTAGTACTGTGAACAAATTCTAGGACAATTTGATATGATCTAACATATACTTAATCAGACTGTTGTCTTTATGACAGGCGAGTTTGTCATCGGTCGTGTGATTAAAGCAATGAACTCTAACTGGCATCCGCAATGTTTCCGCTGTGAGGAATGTAATTGTGAATTGGCAGATCAAGGCTTCATCAAGTGTCAAGGCAGAGCATTATGTCATACGTGTAATGCTCGTGTAAAAGCTGGTGTTCTTGGAAAATACATATGCCAACAGTGCCAGTATGTTTTTTTTTTTTATTATTGTACAGAAAATGTATCTGGCTTTATAGATGATAGCTTAACATCTTGTTTTTTTATTCTATGTAGAAAACAAATTGTCCTTAAATGCTATCATTTACAGTTTTTTCAAATCTAAAAAAAAATAATAGAAAAATTTCTAAAGAATGAAAAACTACAAGTAGAGATAAAAAAAAAATTTGTTTCCTAATTAAAAATTGTTTTTAGTGGAGTCATCGATGATAAGCCCTTACGATTCCGCGGTGAGCTTTATCACCCATATCATTTCAATTGCACTACGTGCGGCGTGGAACTTAATTCTGAAGCCAGAGAAGTCCGTTCTCGACCTGGCTACGCTGCCAATGAAATGGTAAGATTTTTGTAATCAAACATGTTATATCTTGATTATTTAATATGTTCATTAACAGCGTATAAATATTAATAATTTTATATTATGTAGAACGAGTTGTATTGCTTGCGGTGTCACGATAAAATGGGAATCCCGATTTGTGGCGCTTGTCGGCGCCCGATTGAAGAGCGCGTAGTAACGGCGCTCGGCAAACATTGGCATGTGGAACATTTCGTGTGTGCTAAGTGCGAGAAGCCCTTCCTGGGTCATCGTCATTACGAAAAGAAGGGTCTCGCTTACTGCGAGACTCATTATCATCAGTTGTTTGGGAATCTCTGCTTCGTTTGCAACCAAGTCATTTCCGGAGATGGTATGTACTGAACGATATAAAAAATTTCGAGATAGATGAAATTTGAACGAAAAAAATTAATTTGGAATTAATTAGAGCATAAATCCGAGTTTTAATGTCTTGCCTCGTTGAATTTAAACTTTTTTCTTTTTAAATTCTTAAAAACCTCATTATTTTATTTGGTGACAAATTTTACTAGTTTCGGAATTAAGTTTTGAAACATTGCGATGCATAATGCCTTTTTTCTTCGTCTATTGATATCTTGAACTTTCGAATGTTTTATTATTAAAACTATTGGCAAAACAATACCGGATTATAATGTAAAATAGATATTATGTGAACCTCTCTGTTTTTCTGTTTCTTTTTGTCTCGCATTATTTTTCTTGAAAACTTTTCTAATTTAATACAATTATCTCTTTTCAGTTTTTACAGCATTGAACAAAGCATGGTGCGTTCATCACTTTGCGTGCGCATTTTGTGATCAGAAAATGAATCAGAAGACAAAGTTCTTCGAATTTGATCTGAAACCTGCGTGCAAAAAGTGCTATGACAAATTTCCGCAAGAGTTGAAGAAGCGGATGCGACGTATGTACGATCTGAACCCTAAGAGGATTCCGTCAGTATAAACACAGTCTCGATTCCCTCTTAATTTTCAAGGATCGATCAAAATCGTCGCTGGTACCTTACACTGCCTTAAGCTTGACATAAAAAAACTTTTTAAATATTTTAAAATGTATTTAATGTATCAAAGCTATTTTAACTATTTTTAGCTGCTACAACTATTTTTAATATACAACTTATTACTAACATTTGTAGTTTAAAATATTCAACGTCTCTCAGTTGATTTTACATGAATGGAAGAAGTGCAATAGTCTTGAATATTTTGTATAAGTGAGGCACGACGCTAATTTACATTATAGCTCGCATTGTTATAAACAATAGCAGTTATTTAACTAACCTGTACGATATACACTGTATAGCCGATTTTTATTAAACTTATTATTTTAAACTCATTAGCTTATTAACGAATTATTGCTGGTGCGTTAGTGAAATATTCACAAGTCTGACATCTAAAGTAATAACGGTTTTTTATTATACAAATGTGATAACACTTATATACATAATGTATAACAGTACATAGTGTACAATACTTACATTTAACTAAATTCTACGAAATATTGTTATACGAAAATAGACACTTATTCCCCAATTGTATTTTTCAAAGACATATTGAAATATAATAAAAATTAATTAATAGTTTCTTAATAGCAGTGATGATGACCTTACAAGGAAAGAAGTTTTTATATTTCCAAACTAAAAAAAAAAATATTAACAATTATGTATATTAATATTATTAGATAATTATTTTTGTATTCATAAAAATACAGAAATGTTCTTGCATTTACACGAAAAGAAATAGAAACAATTTATTTTTAATATCTTGAATACCTTTATATATGAACTTATTTTGTAATAATCAAAGAAAAAAAACTTTATCATAGAATAAATCTGTATGTGGAATAGATATACAATTCGTTTCCATTCATATCTAGATATTCCTCCACAAATATTTTTATCTATATCAGGATCTTATGCAATTAGATGTGTTTCTTTCAGTTGCTTTTTTTACATTTTATATACATAAAATAAACACGAGTCAACACTTGGAAGATAAAAAGAGAAAGAGATTTATTAGTGTATAAGGCCTGACGATAAAATTCGCAAACTTATTTCTTTTACTGGCGATTAACTGTATTGACATCAAAGATCTCTTTATGTGATGCAATATAAGACCAATTTTTTCATTTCTTAGAAACTTATCTGTCGCTTTTAAGACTCTATTTTGATAAAATATCCTTCCTTCTCCCACACCTTGATTCTTATAAAGTTTTCGTGTTATTTCATAGATTTCGAATGCAGCTTCACTAAAAATTTTTAATTTGCTCTAACAATCTATCCATCGTATTCGTGCCATCGCTTTCACCCGCTGCTAATTGATCTTTTAAGGATTGATATTATAAAATACATACAATTTCTTTGCCACACGTCGTGAAAAAAAAATTAGTCCACGAATTTACTTGTCAGACCTTGTATTTCAAAAGCGACAATAAAATAATTAACCGCAAGACGCGCATAGCTGCAGAAAAGAATGCGCAATAAAGAAGGCAAGTCCGTCAATTAATGGAAGTAATGAAGTTTTATTTACAAATCGAGGCATTGTTGTTAATTTTACGTCCACGCGTGCTTCTCTACTCTCACTCTTTAGAATTTTTAACCCGTTCAAGGTCGCGAAAGATATGAAAAATAATCAATTCCTATGTTTTTTTTTTTTAATTATTTACCTTCCTTTTTCATGCCAAGATAGACCTATTTCCGCAATTAATTTCGCGCCGACTCTGTTAAAAACAATCTTCAAATATTTACATCTCCATTTAATCCTAGAATACTAATGTTACGCAATAAAAAACAGTATCTAAATTCAGTAGTTTCTGCTTTTTGTTCACTCATTAAAATAGCATGGCTTATTTCTAATAAAAGTTTATTTTTCTCCTCTTGGCATTTCTCCGGAAAATATCTCGACATACGTGAATTTAACGCATAATTACTGTTAATATTTTAAAGTAGAATTAGTATTCTAAGGTTAACGCTGCGTTTTTTTAGCGCTAAATGTGGTCGATTAATCCTGAACTTTACAAAGCGATACGAAAATCGATTCATCTATATATAAAGCTCGATGACGTCAAAAGCGGGGGATTCTATAGAAATTTCCGTGGATGACCTACACTTTTATAAAAGCATATAAAGTCATGGAAAAAAGTTGAAAATAAGATAAAAAGTTACAAAACGAGACAGAGAAAGGAAGGAAAAAAAAAAAAGAGAGGCTTAGTCTCGCATGCTACATGTGATGCGATCTAACATTTTATCGACATTTTTTTACAAGATTCCGAAAGAAGTTTCTCGATATGTGTCGAGTTAATTTTTTCAGGTTTCTTGTTTTTTTTAAATAAAGGGTAACAGATGAAGGCCAGATGTTCGAGGCTTTGACGTTATTTTGAATCTTCCTTGATACTGCATGTGTTTTTCATTAAGATTGTCGCTATGGATATCTTTGTTTCTATAGTCGTAAACATAAATTACAAAACCGCTGTCCGTCTTCGATACTCCGATATAAACATCGTATACAACGCAATTGCGGACCGAAAATCGGTCGCATTTAGCACTAAATGTGCGATGTGATCAACAATCTCGCGAATCTGAGTTCGGACGCGTATAATCGTCGTCGCGAATAGCGCTGAATATGATCCACTCGCACGTTCCAATTATCCAATGTAACTATAGCTCGACATAAATAACAAAAGCCGAAATGTGGATGGCCACATTTAGCGCTAATTGCGCAACGCCTCGGATATCGCGAAAAGTCTAGCACTAGCGTCTCTAGTCGGCGTCGCTGGTTCTGCCCCGACCGTCTGATTTTGAGTTTCATATTTCAGTCTGAGATATAATTCTAAGATCCTATTTTCGGGATATAAATCGGAAAATAATGACCGCATATTACGTTTTAGACGCTGTTTTCTGTAAATAGGATCGTGTTACTTTATTGCGACGAGAGGCGACACGGGCCTTCAACGGGTTAACAATAAATCACGGGGGAGAAATCTTTGTACAATTCGCGCGATAATAATAATAATAATAATAATAATAATAATAATATTAATAATAATAGTAATAATAATAATAATAATAATAATAATACAATTGCTCCTAATTTCATGGCGCGCAAAAGCCGCACGCACACACTTTTATCGCTTTTTTATTTTTTTATATTTTTCTTTTGTTAAGAAATTTTTCGGATCTCTATCGGCATATAAAAAGTTTCGACTCGAATCGCGCCGCTCGGCGAAAGCCTCAACATTATTCTTTTTTTTTTCTTTTTTTTTTGCTTTTTATACACATACAACACACGCACACAGTAGTGCATACAAACGTACATGCATACATACATACACACGCGCACGCATCCTCTGCTTCTGCCGTTTTGTAAATATATTATGTATATATATATGTATGTGTGTATACATAGATATATGCATATATACATTGAATGTATGTGTATATATAATATATATATATTTTTTACACGCGTTTTCGCTTCATTATGCGCAGCAAGGCGGCACGAAATCCAGTTGTGATTTCAAAAAGGAGAACATTATTGGCAACACCTTCTCATTCGCATTTTTCCTTGCTTATGTCGAAATACTACGTGCTTGCGTATGAAATGTCAAATTTTCTAATCTGCTTCAATTAATAATCAATTTGTAAAGCTTGCAATTTTCAGTATTCCACGACTTTTTGATTTTTTAAAGCTTCTCTAAATTTATCTCTCTCTACAGTTTAGATTTCTAAATTCTAGAATACTAAATCTAACTTAATATATTTTTACTGGTATTATTAAAGAAATATCATGCTACGTTTGGTAAACAAAATTATAACATTCGCAAATATATAAAAAAAAACCTACAAGCGTATACATTTCACTAATAAAATTTTGGTTCTATTTCTGAGTAGATTCGCTTATTAATATAATCTATGCTTAACTCCACCAAACTGCAGATTATAATCAGCGCAAAAAGAAATAGACTTTTCATACGCAACATCGTAATGCTGTGATACAGCTAAAATGCATCTTTAGATCCTTGAATCCTTAGATTCTTCTTCTTTGTGTTAACAAAATGAAAAAATTTTGATCTACATTTGTTTGTACATTTTTAGACGCCACACAACTTCAAATCCTTGGATCTTTAGTTCCTTAGAATTCTATAGCCAATTTTTAAAAACCCTTCTATTTTTTCAATTCAATTCAATAAACACGTCTCTGGATATTCTTAACTTCTTAATCAATTGTATCAATTCTCGAATCTTCGGTAGCCCACAATTTTTCTGAAAACAGACATTTTTTACATCCTACATCTTTAAACTCTTCAATCGTGCTATCCACGATCCCTTGATCTTTAAACTACTATACTAGCGAATTCTTTATCTATCACATTGTTGGATCATTGCACACTGGTATATCGATGGATTCGTGGATTTTTATATTCTCGGATTTTAGAATATTCCATTTCCTGATACCTTTCGTGCTTCTTCAACTAAATAAATCCATGGATTTTACAGTTCTTATCGTTTGTTCGGCTTTGAAATATTTGGACCTATGGATTCTCGGATCCTTGGATCGTGCACAGATGTGTCCCGGAACGGATGTACGATAAGTTGTACGTACGGAGTCGTTTCGATGGGCGTTACATAAACATTATGATACACGTTCGCGCGCAATAACGTTTACAAGAAATATCGGTACACTTACTAAGTACAGAAGGATGGAAGAATTGGAAGCCACATCAAAAATCTCTGTTAAATCTTCCTATTTTAAGTAGAAACGGTAATCCGAACGATCGGATTTCTTCAAGCTATCGTTATATCAATAAAAATAGTAAAACTTTACGAAATACAGAGTGGTTCACGAATTTCGTTACGCGCGTGAAGGAAGGCAATGCAACAAAATAATTCAATAGTTAAAAAAACATTTTATACAGATAGTTTTGTTTTCTCAAAGCAATTTTTTGTGAAAAAAATTCTGTCGCGCACATTAACTTTTTCAATATTTCCATGATACAAGTAAATTTCATCTTTTACTAAACCTTCGCATTAATAAATTCCCATAAATATTAAAAAAATTTAAAATTCTAAAAAAAAAAAATAAATTTCTAGATATGTTTTAAATATTAAAAAATGTCTATTTTTTTGAATATTTTATTTTAAAAAGTCCTTATTTTTGAATTGCTGATCAGAAATCACTTTTATATCAATTGTTGTATCGCCATTTTTGATCCACTCTGTATTTAGATGAGGGAGAGAAAATAAAACAGCAGACGCAGCCGAGCTTGTTACAAGCTGATATTGATAATCAATACTAATAATTCACTGAATATATCGATAATAATACCGTCACTTCAATGCAAACATATTTTAAAAACTTACAATTTCTATCTAAAAAAATTGATTTTTGAGATACTTCTTAATCAGATCGATTTTTTAGCAGCAGCAAAACGTGCAGAATAAAAAATAAATCTATCTTCTTTTCACATTGAAATAACGAAATTGGCACCGATATCTATATAATAATTATATTAATAATAATGTAATAATAATAATAATAATAATAATATTAACAGAGGTAAAAGCACGAATAATAACAATCTGAAATGGTTATGATAGTACAATGCATTTTGTACATTTGTTATGCTCGGTCAAACAGCTGTGATCGTTTACAAATTACGCATTAGTAAATATATGCACATACGCAGGGATATATCGTCGCTTATCTATTGCCCACCGAGGGCTACATCTAAATTATTCTAATTTGTTAATGACATCATGTAATTCGTTTCATTGCAGCAAAGAAATATTAATTGTTAAATTCACAAAGTTTGTCTCAAACATCTTTCTCACATACATGCTTTGCCACTGAAATAAGTGAATTAAAAAAAAATTGTAAAACGTAAGTAATTAATCCCTGATTTTAAAAGAAATTAGAGATGTAATTTTTTCTTCGTAATAGCATATAAAACTTCTACTTTTTTTTTACTTCCTTGATTTTGCAGATTGGCAGTTACATGTATTTGATAATTGAAGTTGGCAAGGTTATTAAGTAGCAAGATAAAGTAAGAGTGTGTCAACATGATTCGAGTAAAGTTGTGAGATTAAATTTGATTTGATATTAATTTTAAAATCAAATGTAGTTTCTCTTAGACATAGTAATTTAGTTACTATATATAAGAAAATAAATCATAAGAAATTTCAACGAGTAAGAAAATACAATGTAAATTTAAATTTTTACAAAATTCTATTTAATTCTAAATTGCTATAAGTCAATTACCATCTCTTTGCTCCAAGAAAACGGACGATCAAATGTAACCTCATCAGCTTGGAGGGAAAGAATGATATGCATTGGCCCAGCTTCATCAATATTGGCAACAATATGATCCATGATTATTTTCGACTATTTTTTACTTGATTTGTTTTCCCCTTTTCCTTTTTCAGCAAAGCAACTTATTTAATTTATTATTTATACGATCTCTACAAGATTTCTGCAAACCAATTAATATTTCTCAATAAATTTAATTAAGTTTTCAACCCTTCTCCCCACTTTTTACATTACTATTATAAATTCCTCGAAACTTTTCAGGAAGTATAAAAAGAAAAAAATAATTTTGCTGCTGGATTAGCAGAAATTAATATATATTCGGGTATAAGATTAATTATGTATATATAAAATATTTTATTCCAATAAATATTTCATAGAGAAATATACACCACAATTGTTCATATTTAACAATGAGACTGATAAATGAAGTAAAAATAAAAATATTCACAGGTATTAAAGGGTTGATAAGAAAAATGGTACATACCCTGCAAAATTTCAATGTCACCGTTTTAAATGCTACATACAGAGCGTCTGATGAAAGGTGTGTATCAGCAGCAGGAAATACTTAACTGAGCGACACTGAAATGCAATAAAATGCTTAATTTGCATTCAACTTTTTCTATTCCATGATTTTAACAATAGATGGATGACGTATCTAATAGTAGCTCAAAGATATCTCTTGTCACATGTATACGATTCAAGCAATTTGTGGCATTCTCTATAAATATAAAGATAAATTTGTTTGATTAATTGATTGATTGATTGATTATGCAGAAAATCGTTGTTCCTATTTCTCGGCAGTGTGAAGCAAGTAGTTCTACTATCGACAATATTGTCTTAAAAGTTTGAGCTTTCCCAAATTTTCAATTACAATGTTTTTGAAGAAATAAATATATTTAAAAGAAACATAATAAATATTTTTTAAATATCTTTCAGATCTCTTTATCTCTCTCTCTCTCTAATTTGCATGCTTAGTTTTCAAAGTTTTTTAGTTTAATTCATCCGATCGTTTCAACCTGATTTTTAACAATAAATTCCTAGGTCTCTGTGTGTTTCATTCTTCAAAGATTCGGAATTCTAAATATACTTAAATTTCTAACTTCCCGGCTTCGCAAACGCTTAAATATTCGGGATTTATGATTTTTAAGATACTTAATTTTTATATCCATGCATTTTAAAATCAGTTCCACATGACTGATATATATATATTATATATTATATATTATATATATAATATGTAATATATGTCAACGTTATCGCACATTGGTTGTATCATGTGAAGCCGTTTCAAGATTTAGATTTGGTTACTAAACTATAAAATATTTTAGAATTTTCTTTCGCAATACTAATTTAAATAGCTAAAATAATAATTAAAATGTCATTTTTATAATTTAGACCAAGTAAAATATAAATTCCAAATTCTACCTGCTACTGTTACTCTCCTTTTTCGACGCGTTCTGTAAGCGTTGTGTCAGAAGCATTCAAAAATGTAGTTGGATCGTCGATATCTTCTCTTGACAATCGAATCTAATTGAATGAAAATGTTGGTGTCTTGGTTCAAATAAAAAAAAGAAAAAAATTAGAACAGCAACAACAGCATGGCCCATCAAACGACTCGGAGCAATTTTTCTTCTCTTCTCTCTTCTCGCTCCCCCCCCCCAACTCTCTTCTGCTATTACCTTCATACTCTTTCGATATAAATCATCATAATTAATCATTCTAACCATCATTCTTTTCTCTCTCGTGACCGATTAACTTGCCTGTGAGCAGATTCTGCTCAACGAAGACTCCTGGTTCCATCCTTTGCTAGGTTCTTTTCCTGAGCACATTCGTACTTCAGCCTGTCCACGCAGGACAGGATTGATACAGTTCGTCGTTCTTGACGCTTGGTGCAAAATGGAAGAACACTCGCGCTTCGAAGCTGAATCAGTCTTCATCGTGTTGCTCTGCCAGGAAGAAGGATACCAGCAGCTGTGAGTTGTGTGTGTATGTGCCAACTTGGATAACGCGCTGTTAAGGTATTAAGACATTCCGGCCCCGTTGATTGGAGTGATTCTTCCAAAGGTCAACAAGGAGGTATGCTTCGAGTCCCTTCGCCACATAACGAGTGGGTCACGTGAAGCAGTCCCCGCAGAATCCTCCGGAAGGTGCATTGAGCGACAAGACTGGCTGCGTTGCCAGGATTCAGGCGGGGCTAGGAGGCAGCCAGCGAGCCTGATCCAGGCGGGCTCTGATTGCTTTGCACCGTCTGCGCAGGCATCTGGTTGTAGGGATGATTGCTGTTGCACAACACTGTGTAGATGTTTTCCACATTGCTGAGTTTCTCGAAGAAGGGGATTAGATCCAGTAGCTCGGAGTCCGTCATGTCATCAAACCAAGACGCCACTGGAACCTGCAAAAATAAGCATTGTTATTATTATTATTCATTTCAATGGATTCCTAATCTCTTACTGCGAGCAATCTTTGAACATTACAATACAAATAGCAAAAAGTACAAGTTTTTTTCTCGCCACTTCCATATATGCAAATTAATTTTTTTTTTTCCATATCATTAAGTATATCTTACCGCATTATCTGGATGGAAAATGTAACTGGCAGGACTATTATCTACAATAATGATTTGCTGCAAATCCCGACCTAGTTTATTCAAATCCTTAACGTAATTTCCCCTGTGGAACACACAGGATTCTCTGAATAATCTTGCTCTGAATACACCCCATCGATCTAATAGATCCGCCACTGGGTCTGCATACTGCAATACAACATAGCAAAACAACAAAATTAATCAATTTGTCTACGCTTTCGTTTAAAATATTTATTTTTTATAAATTAGCTTTATTATTATTATCAATGAATGCTGTTATCAAAACAAAAGTTACTTTACAATAATGATTCTATGATATTCAATTAATTTATCTTTTATAAAAAAATATTAATCCTTCATTCTCTCTAATAACTATTTTGTGCAAGATATAATATAATTAATATATTGTACAGAGTATCCTAAATTTTCTCTATCCATCTTTTAGTAGCTAATAATTATGAAAAATAAAGGAATTTTACAAGCTTCATAAAAGTACAATAAAATATGACACAAGCAGTCAATTATCATAATAAAAAATTTATCTTTGATTCACAAATATTTTCATCATATTGATATACAATTAAAATTTGCTCATTAATGCACAATCTTGTTTCTTTATTTTTCTCTTTCTCTCTACTATGAACATACCTTAGCCAAACTTGCAGTGAACAATACACATTCGTATAATTCACCCATCCTCTGCAAAAACTCGTCCACATAAGGCCTCTTTAAGACGTACACTTGGTGTACTGTTCCATCAATCTCTACAGGAACGACAAAGTCCGCATTGTTGATCGGCTTGAAAGAACTATGCACCAGAGTCTCGTCTAAGTCGATTACCATGCACTTCTTGTGCATGTCTTGGTGCCTAACCGGTGGTAGGAGGAACCTTGGGGATCCGGTGCCCGGTGGTGGCGAGCCGCGGCCATCTCCCTGTAGAGAACTCGCCTTGGAGCTCTTTGAACTGCCACCACGACCCCTTCCGAAACAGCAAAGCAGAGAGCGCAGGAGTCCGCGTCCTCTTGGCTTCTTGCCACTCGACGGGCTATTGCTGGCTGCTTCATTCTCTCGAGGTAATTGGGCTGTATAGAAAAGAGCAATAATTAACTATCACTTGTCAATATTAAAAATGTGTAACTATATATTTACGTATATAAAAAATTATCTATTCTCATACAAATTATATTTACTTTTAAATTATATATTCTCAATAAACTTGAGATGCTGCTATATTTCATTTTTGTCACAAGTACATATTGCAACAAAAGCTAATTTTAAAGTTAGTTAGAGATTTTTCAACAATTAAAAGCTATAATTTTATAAAATAACAGCATTAACTTTTATAAGCTATTTTATTTGTTAAAAGGATACATGTATATATCTTTTTCTAGAATATATACATATATTCTAAGGATAGCATGCACACATACACACACATAGATACATACATATACATATCTTTATGGAAAGATATATTAGTGTAAATTTTATCAATAAAAGCTTACAGATCAAAAAAGAATCTGATATCACAATGTATATCAGTTTCTCTCTTTAGGTTATCTTAAAGCTCAGAAGTGATATTGTCAAACTAGAAGAGATTTAGTTCACTTGAAAATAATACATTTGCAACTTGTGCATTATAAAAGTAGTGTTGTTGCAATTAACCTTTCACAATTTTTTGCTGTCTTCTTTACAGATTGCCTTCTCAAAGCATGAAAGGTTAAAGGGCACGACATAGAATAAGAAAATACGGAAATTTGCGACACTATTTGGAGAACATAAGAGCATGACGGCGAGGGGGTTAAAAGGGGTGCGAATATAGAGGAGCAGAAAGAGGGATGGAGAGCGGCTCGGAGACACGCGAGAAGTTGTTCACAGAGGGGAACGGAGGAGGGACGAAAGGTAAAGTTAAGCGAGATAGGGCGAGGAGAGAAACGCGGGTGCTGTAACAGGTGCGGAGGAAACGAAATCCCGGCAGCATCTGGCGGAAAGTGTTAGGAGCGCGGGGAGAAGGGTGACATAAGACTGGCAGGCGATACTCACCTTTCTCGCTGTTGAATGCGCCTAGCTCGTCATCCCGCGATACCTGGGTGATAATGGACGATGCGTCCATTTAAACATTAGTCGGTGGTCCCTGCGTGCACGATCGCGAATTCCGTTAACGCGCGCGCGCGCGCCAGCCGACGGACGGACGGACAGGCGGGCGAGCGAGAGCGAGCAAACGAGTCAGCGCGCGCGAGAGACACGGAGAACGCGACGGCCTCGCGCGCGCGCGACGACGAAGATAGGAGCGAGCGAGACAGTGCCGTGATTGGCGCGCGCGCGTGCACGTGAAAGAGAGGCAGAGAGAAAGCGAACACGACACACATATACACACACGCGCGCGCGTACACAAACAGCTAACCTCACTCTCTCGCTCGCGGCGCACGGAGGCCCCTCGGCGCCTCGCGTCTCTGCCCGCCGCCGCCGTCGCCACCGTTGTCCCTCCCACCACCACTACCGCCGCCGTCGTCGTCGCCGCCGCCGCTGCGTAGATCACCGCACGACGAATGGAGACGCATAGGCGCAGGAACGATACGCTTTCGGAGCGACACGCGTAATGAAGGGCCGACGACGGGTGTTCTTTTGCGGCCACTTAAACACGAGTCGACAGTGAGTACCTCAGGACGACAATCCGCATCGATGAAGCGTAACGATGCTGCAAGTCTCGTCGAGCGTCTTCATTCTCTCGCGAACGCACATGTGCGCACACTACGCGACTCCTGTCACTCACACTCGGCACTCGGCACCTTTCCTTTTTCACGCGCCACACCTAACGCCCATTGCGCAGTTCATTGCTATTCCGACGGTGTACCGCTTCGGCGCGCGCGGATTCACACCGCAGGTCGCTTTCGTAGAACGCGAGACGGAGTAACGATACGCACGGTTTCGTGGTCACGTCGTAATTTCAGCTGTCGTATACCTTCGACGCGCGCAACTGCGACGTATAGAACTTGGCCGTGTCAGCACTCGACCTTGAGTACGAATGAAAGTCTACTTTCCGCAATGGACCGATGTGTGTAGCTTCATCCGTACAGCCGCACACTCCTAATACAGAAAGTATTTCATGTATATATCACTGCACATGGTTCTAATACATAAAACAATATTTAGAACTTTGCTTAATATATATCTTTAATATATCTAATACCTGAATATAAAAAATGTATATAAATATGCATTGTTCCTCAATAATCTAGTATGTATATGACAGATAGATTTCAATATAAAATATTTCTTATCCTTATTAGTATGAAATATTCATACGACGTGTGTACAATTTATGATAAAAATATAACACTCATCTGATAAGTTTCAGAACGTACTTTTACAATTTTATGCGTTCCGAAACTCATTAAATAAAAATATGTTACCAACTTTTACAAAAAAAATGTTCATTTGAATCCAAAAAATCTTTAGCTAAAATCTCTAGAAAACAAAATTGCCAGACTGTCTACACGATTTTGGTACACTTTATGACTTAAAAGTGCTAGCTGTCGACTACAATATTCATTCAAATTTATCAAAAACATGATATTTTTTAAAGGAAAAATATTAATAATTAATATCGTTTATCAATCATAATTTGTCATTACAATTATAACATAAACAATCTTCAATAACTAATTTTAATATTTGAGATATTATTTTGAGTGCTTATTTTAAAGCAGTTTTTTAGTTGTTCCTTATCATACCAATTTTGTTAAAAATCTTAATACATTTACATACAAATTATTGTAAAGACAGCTTAACAGCAATAAATAAATTTATTAATTCATAAAAAAATATCTGTACATGTATTTCACGATCTCTTTAAATACCTTTTCAAATAATCATCTTTGAAGTTGCACTGTCCTTAAACATGGTCTGCCATATCTTCTTCTAGCCTCTTCAAGAAAGGCATTTTCCATTTGTCTTACAATCTCATTGAAAAACAAATTTGACAAATGAGAATAAATAGCAGACTTGAATTCAAAGGACAGAGAGAAATCAATCACACATGTCTCAGGATTATTTTTCAATCCAGGATTAAAAAGCCATAAAGTATCCAAATGATCAAACAATCTGCCATCTCTACACTCCGCTTTAACTATTCTTGGATATACCATGGTCACTTTTGAAGTGTAACTTTCACTTATAGGTGGGAATCCTATTACTAAACTAGCATTCAGAAAGTCTTTGCTTTTCAAAGTAATGTCAGATTTTTTGCAAAAAGGTAAAAACTTCTTGTAATTTCCTACATCAGCAACCACGTAATACATTTTCTCCATTGAAAATCTAAATAATAAAAATTAAAGTTTTAAATGGCATAATCTGCATGAAAAATATAAAATTTGTAATAATATTAATACATAAATGTGTCAAAATATGAATCAATTAATTTAGAATGGGAAATTGTTTAAATATTATTTTTAAGACTGGTATGAAAAGAAATAGTGACAAATTAAAAATATAAAGTAAGATCTTTGCTTAAAAAAAGTTCTTTTATTACCCTACTAATTTGCGACCTTCATATTCTTTTGTTTTATAACCTGCTCCTGTTCCATATGTACGCCACAAGCTCTGCTTGAAAGAGCCACATTTCCATAGCAATGCCAATTGATCCAGAAAGAGTGCATTCCTAAAAATTTTTGCATACAATTCAATATAAATAATAATTTTTAATTTGAATTATTTAGACATGAGTATTTTCTTAGTAGAATATTTCTTTAAGGTTAAATTTTTAACTATCATAACCTTGAAGTATCATGCATGATTTTATTAGCGTAGAATTGTATGAAATATATTACCTATGCATCTTTAAGTATAAAATATTAAATTTTATCACAATATTTGGTAATTTACATTTAGTTTTGATATCCGACACGCCAAAACTTCATAACCTAAAGATTTATATTTATAATTCTAACGTCATCCTAAGTTAAACTTTAATTGTTTCCAATGATAACATTTAGAGGTAGTTGCAGCAGTGGTCATATTCTTCAATTCGCGCAAATGTGCACTTTGATATACTTCACAGTATAAATGCGTCCAAGAATTGTTACACAATTGAATAATAAACAATTGTCATTAGGTCATTAGGTTTAATTAATTAATCAAGTGCAATTATTGTAAAAGAATTTTTCAGCTGTCACATTTTTTGAACATAATAAATTGGTATTTCCAAAAAAAACTAATTGAAATTTGTAAATAGACTAAGCATTCAGTCAAAAACTATGATATAAACAGATTAACAAAATTTTACGAAAAAGTGATGCCAGATCGTCTCATTTCATGAGATAGATGACATGTAAGTCTACCTTATTCTATCTTATAGTAATAATAAATTTTATTGGCTGAAAATTAACAATATGGCGACATAACTAGAATCCGTGCGAATCGAAGAACGAACATCTTAATTATTTGTGATCATAGACTGTAGATCATGCGCTTTCAAAATGGCGTAAGTCAATGTAAACATTGAACGTACTTACTGAGACGGTGTTAAGAATAAAGGCGAAGACGGCCGGCGAGGAGAAATTAATTTCACAAGAGAAGTGCAACGATGATAATTCGAAAAAAAGTATGGCCGCGGACCATCAGCGATTCGCTTTCGATGGTCTTCGTGTTGGTCATAGTACCTTTAATGTACTGGTTCGGATTGTGGATAGTGTTGCCGGAATTGTATAAGAACGCGAGCCTATTGTACATGCTCCATTTCGTCCTCGGCACTTTTATTATGATGAATATCGTAGGTAATTTCACATATACGGTGATGTGCGATACCAGCACATTGCGGAGCGTAGTGCCGGTGAGCACGGCAAAGGCCGCGGATGGATGGAGGCTGTGCGCGACTTGCGAGAGCCTATCGCCGCCGCGCTCGTGGCACTGCAACACCTGTGACACCTGCATCCTCAAGCGGGATCACCATTGTGTGTTCACTGGATGCTGCATAGGCTACTACAATCACCGATACTTCTTCTTCTTCCTGTGGTATCTGTTCCTCGGTGCGGCTTACGCTTTCTACTATGGCAACTTCTTCATCTGGGCCAGGATACCGTTCGAGTTCCCGATGTCCATTATCAAAATAGTGTTTCCCTTGGCAATGTTATCTTTCGGCTTCGACAGTTCCATGGATCAGTTCTACTTGTTGCTGTATGACGTGTCAGCAGTGGGCGCCTTATATACAGCAGTGTTGTGTATTTATCACCTTAATTTGATTCTCAGAGGTGTTGTGGCAAATGAGAGCAACAAGAAAGATTTTACATACGATATGGGCTGGAAAGATAATATCAGAGAAGTATTTGGAGAACGATGGTATTTGACATGGCTGCTTCCTTATATAAAGTCACAGTTACCTCACGATGGAGTCTCATGGCATCACTTGTGTTCTAAAAACGATTGAATTGCTTCAACTGACAATTATAAAGCTGTGTGTTTCAATGAAACAGGCCTACAAACATTTCTTGTTTAAGTTGAAGATATAAAAAAAACTTATGATTAAAAAAATACAGCCAAAGTGACTAAAATTTTACAGTTACAAAGACTATACTTTTTAAACCAAAGATTATTAAATAAAATCATCAATCTCAAAACGTTTTGAAGTGTATCATGTGCTAACATATCTCTCATAACTATTGTATGTAAGGTTTATATCTAGAACAGACAGTATTACATTATTTCATTTGATTCCACATACAAATCATTATGCAATTCTTTGAAATTATACCTAAAGCCATTTGATATTAATTAAATTGCCTCTTCTATATTCTAGAAGTAATATACTAGTTCTTTTTATTATTTATCGTTGTTATCTAAAAGAAAAACTTTTGTTAATTGCTTTGAATATTTTGTGTAAAAGTATTTTCTGAAGCATGTTGATTGTTACCATTTTTAAACAAAGAACATTTAATTGTGTATTATATTTTATTCGCAAACTGTACATAAGAAATAGCTGTACAATATATGACGGCTTATAATATAACGATCAGTAAAGAAGGAATAATTGTTTTTAAGAGCTTATTTACAAATCAAATACTCTATCCGTGGAAGATATAGCTATAACAGATCATAAACCATCTTTTGCACAGTCTAAACTATTCTTAACACAATCTTTCTGATTATTCAAATGCCATTTATACGACAAGGACCAGAGATTAGTTTCTACAATTTGCAATTTTGACTCCCTTAATATTTATTTGAACATCAACAATTATCAGTTGGTATTTCTACTTAACACTTGTCGATTCCTATCTTAAGTAATATAAGATTTTTTATGAAAAGGTATGAAAACAAGTGTATAAAAATAAAAGAAAGATACGTGCAAACATTTCTGAAAGTAATGGTGGAATTATGCTGCGTTTTTTTTCTAATTCCTATCTTAGGATTGTAAATGATTCTTTTAACTTTTATTTAGAATTTAATATAACGTTAAATCTTAATTTGAAACTGCATTGCATTCACACTTACACTGCCAAATAAAGCAAGTTAAACTCGCGTTGTATATTTGTATAATTCTTCGATAATATATGACGAATAATAAATACGTAGTCTTCAATGTGTCACAGCAACGTGGCAAGAGTATAGCAATATTAAATAAATATATTTTACGAAGGTATATTTCTAAATGTTCGTATCTATTATATATACTATTTATATACGAATTCGTATACAAATTCTATATAAATTTCTATACAAATTCGTACAAATATGAGTCATTCTCGTTTCGTTCAGATTCATTGAGTGCACAGATTTCTATATACAGTTGAATCTTTCTATTCAGCTGATGCTCCGCAGTCTTAATTTCTAGAGCCTTATACTTTTGAATGATATAGTATATAGAAATTTGTGATTAGATTAGTCTTTCGCTGATGGCAGTACAAGTTTGATAGAGAAAACGATAAATTTGAAAAATAAATACGAAAAATTTGTTCTTGAAAATTTTCCAACATTCAATTGCAAATTCCACTTTCATTGGTATGCATCATTATAACTGCACGATTATAATTGGAATTATCATTATAATTGGAAGATATCACAACCTCAATATTTACGACTTACCTTTTTTTTTTAATTGGAAATGAAATGCCTGAGTGACGCTTACTGGTCCAGGAATGACAAAGCGTGAGAAATGACATCACACTTTGGGCAACAAACTGATGTGGCCCTTCTTTCTATATTTCTTCAGAGTTTTTTTGATCGCGAACTGGAAGCATACCAGCGCGCATATCACGGCCGAAATACAGTACAACACCACACAAATGCTAATGTCGAATATATTTAAATCCCAGCCGAAAGCATTGATGTGCTTCATCTCTCTGGTGAGCCTCTCCGATCTCGCTCTCGAGTCGTTGCTGTTGATTGTGGCAAGATCATTAATCTCGTCAAGCTTAATGCTGCTGTAGCTGTACTTGACTTTTAGATATCGCAGAACCTCTTCCTCGTTCCAGCTACCGTTCACGTATCTGCATGTCGGACAATGCTCAGCCGCGGGATACTGAATCTTCCTGTGCTCGGGATCCTCCGTGTCGTCGCCCGATAATCGTACGTTCACCTGATTGTGCGCTCGCCATAACCAGAGCACAGCCTCGTCCCTGCTACGCACGTCGAATATCTTATTCCTTCTAGCCATCTCTACGAAATGCGCGGCGCAGTCGGCGCACCCGAAGAAAGTTCCGATGTAACTGTGCATCACTCGCAACACCGCCGCGGGGTCTTCCGAGAAGGCCTGAGAAGCATCCTTGTGCGGTTCCAGCGCGAAATTCACAGTCAACATGTGGAACGTGGTCCACAAGCCGCACGGGTAGCCGCGGTACGAAGCTGTGCTACCTTTGCATCCTATCCACCGACGAGACGGCCCCGAGTACACCGGCGACATCTCCTCCTCCGTCGTCTTCACCAGCTGGCTGTACTCCTCGCCGGTCACGGAGCTTCTGTTCTTCACGATGTTGCGAATCACTTCCAGATACGCGTTGTTGCGTCGCAGGGGGAAATACGCGGCTAGTAGCGCATGGTACTTCCGTAATACCTCCATCTTCTCACCGTCTATCGACTTTGTTAGAGGTATCTCGTGATTGATCGAGTATCGCAGCGCGCTCTCCAAATCGAGTTGATACATGTAGTCATCGGTCTTCTTCGACGACGGTTGTTCCTGATTTTCCTGAACCTCCACAACCGCCGCAAGCGTTGTTTGCAGCACTTTCTCTATATTCTGCTGCGCAACATCATGCGAAACCGTTGTGCCCACCTCGTCGATGTTCACTCCTTTCGAGATCACGTAGTCCTTAATAGCCCGTCGCACGCCCTGCCTCGTCGGTATTCTCACGTTGATAACCTTCTGCGACTCGTTACGTCCGAAGGCTATTAAGGTCGGGAACTTGGTGACCTTGTTCATCACGCATAGTAGCTCGTTATCGGAAGTTACCCTGCGTATTTGCAAACTGTTGATAGTGTGCAGATCGAGAATTACTTCCACTCCCAGGTGGGAATCCTTGTTCTCGAAAATCAGAAAGAAATGCTTCACATTGTTGGATGTCGTCCTCCATATATCTGTTATTTCGACGTTCCTACAATCAGTTAGAATGTATTAGTATATTTCTTGTGCCAAAGTGAGTTAAAATAATATCTGAAGATTCATCATATTTATGAAAAAATAATAAAACGCTTCAAAAGATTTTATCTTATTTCAATAAATTTCATAGATTATGAACTTACTACAAATATTTTTTAAATAAAATTTTTGTTAAAAGAAAATTAACTTCTGGTAAACAGTTTATCATTTTGGTAAATCAAAAAGATTCAAGAATTTTTCTCTGAAACTTATATCTTAACTATTTCATTAAATTATAACAAACTTAATATCTTTACAATTAATATAATAAATTTTATAATGTAGCCTCTGTTTCTAAACTATAAATTAATATTTAAATGGCTTTAAAAAAATCACATATCAACGTGCATAAAAAAAATAGTTGTTTGATTGCACCAAAAAATTGTCTAGAAAATAGTTATAGAAATTTATTTATACCTGTATGGTGCAATGTTAGGCCATGTAGATCCTCGTCCCTCCTGCTGTTCTATTTCGAGCCGACTAATTAAATTATGTCTCACCGAGTCGGCACTATCCCCCTTTTCTATCGCTATACCCAAGGACGGCGGATGCGCGTTCACAGAAAAATACTTCAACATTGGATAATGCATGATCTCGTATTCGCGACAAATCGGATTGTTTTCGTCATCAGCGCAATCTATCGCAGCGACCACGACAATATCGTTCCAAGCTAAAACATATTTATGTATATAATGCAACTATACTCAAATAAAAAAGTTGTGTGTTGACAATTTCAACAACCATTCCTTATTGAGGTCAAATTCTTTTTTGTGTGTGACATTACTATTAAATGTATAATTCAATAAATAATTAGCTTTTTTTTTTCTTTGCTGAAAACTTACAGAGAATGTCGCTTGCCAGAGCCTTCCAAGTTGGTGCAAATCTATAACAAAACCCACACCAACTGTTGTAAAATTCAACTAGCCAACTCTTGGTGCTGCCGTAAACATTAGTTTTGAAATTTGTGGCATTAAGAATCACTACGTCGTCGCTGGCATTGTACAATCCCTGGCCGCCTATCAGATTTGGATTCTTATGTGCTATTGAAGCTGCGCTACTCCAGTCTACCAGAAAATTCAGTAGACACAATCTCAGTACAGTCCTTATTAAATCTAATTGGTTCATCTTGTGTCTCCAATAATTGACATTAGAATTTGATCACTCTTCTCTTACTGCAATAATATAACATTAATGAGTATTTTAATACGCATCACAAAAATGATGTATTTTTTAATATATTCAGATCTTTTTTTAACATTTACCAATTTTAATTCTTCAATGTTACATCTCTAGAAGATTGCTTTCAAATAAAACTTTTATTAAATTTATCCAAGACTAATTTTTTATATAGTTGAAAGTAAGATAATAAAATATAAAAATCTCAAGATTTGATAATTAAAATTGTAATTAATTGTATAAAAAAATATTCTTTGACTTATACTTTTTTAAATTGCTAACTTCTTTTGAACTTCTTGGATACAATAATTTGTAGCAAATAGAATTTAGAATTATCTAAAATAATTCCAAATTGTTGATATAAAATTTTTTCTATTATAAAATCCAATTGAAATTATTGCTGATAATTTTTATATATTATTACAAATGTTTAAGGAAAACAATCTGCTAGAAGAGAATAAAAACGTCAATTTTTCTGCATAATTTTAAAGTCTCAAAAATATTATCTAGTTTTATATTAAAATTGAAAGGTTATACAGGTTAAAGATTAGTGCGCATTAAAACATAAAGAACGTGATGTGAACGTGGGAAACAATATCCGGTTTGATAACAACAAATTATATAATTATTTTTTATAATACGTAGTATCGATAGATTGTGCTTACATTAAAGGTGTTATAAGACAGTACCTTTCAGCCTGTGATTTTGTGTCTTTCGACAGACACGTTCCCAGTCGGTTGATACGTCGAACGATATGAAGCTTCGTTGCTTCTACCTTAATATTAGCGCGACAGTGTAATTTCCTAATTTACTTAATTTGCATCGATGTATATACATAACATTCATAGCACCGATCACTCGACGTAATCAAACATAACCTGACACTCGATGACATTGTCCGACGTAATGCACGGTTCACATTGACTTGTCAGTGATTTGTGATAATTTGTCTGGTGACGTATGACATAAGGTCTGTTCGTTGTAACTACTGTGATTGTAACTGGCACCTCCTGCATTTTTATCTAATGTCCCAAATTCAACGATTGACGTCTAGTTCATCAAATTTTACTGAAATCTATCTTTTTCAAAACAACGATTAATATGACGTTTATGTTGCTATTATATACGGCAATCGTCACGTCTTGTCAATCGCGAACGTCATAAACGCGTACTTACGAGTAGTGGGCGATAGGCCTATCAACAGTGGACAATTGATAACATTTGATGGTTGTGCATACTTGAAGAAATTATTCCTATCGATCAGCCACTGTTTACAACTTTTGTGCACGTTTTTGAAAAAAAAATGACGGTGGTAAGTCAGATATTTACAGCGAAAAGTATCTTTTTTTATATGAAAGTTTTAGGTTATATTAAAAAAAAATCATGTGAAGTATTTTCATACATTGACAAGGATTTGTGCGATTTCTGGTGCACGATGTGATAAAAAAAAGTGATACACTAAATTTTATACGTACAACAAATTATATTAAAATTTTGAAAGTTTTTTAATTAGAAAGTTACATGCTTTCTATCAAAACTATATGATTTTGAAAAATATTGACTCTTATTTTGCATATAAAAATATTAAGCTAAGATTGTAAAAAAAAAAAGATTATTTTATGAAACACTTAATATTAATATATTTTCATATAAAAATATAAGAAAATTCCTTAAACTGTTTTTTTATTTTAGGAATTGAAGAAATTTCTCTATGGATTATTGAGCGATATAGAAGGCCTGCATAGTATTTTAGTTACAGACAGGGATGGGGTGCCTGTTCTATCTGTAGCAGATGAGAAAGCACCTGAATTAGCTTTGAAACCTAATTTTTTATCTACTTTTGCGATGGCTACAGATCAAGGAAGTAAATTAGGTCTTGGCAAAAATAAAACTGTTATATGCATGTACAGTAATTATCAGGTAAAGTATACAATAAATATACAAAACAAATGTATTTATGTTCAGATTCATATATCAATCTGAATCTGCTTGCACACTGTTCATAATTTACTTACTGAGATATAGCTGTTATCTAATTGTCATTTATTTTCATGTTTAAAACCTTTTTTTAAATTGCATTTTCAGGTAATTCAAATGAATAAGTTGCCATTAGTGGTTAGTTTTATCGCTAGTCACAATTGTAATACCGGCCATGTATTATCATTGGAAAATAAGATTGATCCTATTTTAAGTAGTTTAAAAAATGCAGTAGTGGAAGCCTGATGGTTACCTATTGTCCATTATGGGTGATAAATGCTGAATGTTATTCAATTATGAATCTACGAATTGTTGCAAGTGTTGTATGAACAGTTAGTGTTGTGTGAGGTAGCTTTATTATCTTTTTAAAGAACAACAAATCTGTTCTCACATTTCTACTTGCTTGCGCTTTTACACAACATTGAAGACTTGTTTTAAAAAATAATAGTTAAATAATATTTTGAAGTAAAATTAAAGTAAGAAAAATTCTGTGTGAGCTCTTCAAAGATGCATTCTCGAACTTAAAAAGTTTTGTTCTTTATTTGCTAAAAATATATATATAATTTTATATAAAATTATTTTATATAAAATTATGTTATTTATGACTTGCTATAACTTTTCAGTTCTTAAAATGGTATTAACATAATTTTTTATAAAATTATGCTAATCTAATGAAAAAATAATCTAATAGTGAACAAAAATAAATTTGACAAAAGAACATTTTAAATAATCCATTTTGTACCAGAGCAAAAATAGTTACTTAATCAGTCGAGTGGTACGGTTATTTTAATAATTAAATTAATACTGAAATTAAGTCTTAAAAATTATCAAGTAAGATAATTGTGCAATCTGGATGTATAAAAAAAATTGAGAAGTTTTCTATCAAATTTATATTACATTACATATCGATAGACAGAATCGTTTTAGTGCTATATTTGTATAGATAATACAAGAACAATTTATAATACAGAAAAAATGATTTATTATAAGGGATAAATCAATGGCTTGCCCTCAAGACCATTAAGAATGTTCTGTGCTGCGATTGTCGACATGTCATTGCGAGTTTTGATAGTCGCACTACCTAAATGTGGCACAATCACTGCAAAATAAAAATTGATGCATTATACTTGCAAATTATAATAAAATATAACAGTGTATATTAAATTCTTCAGATCTCGAAGTTATAGAATCCTTCGAAACTTAATTAATTTCCTGATTTCTCAAATACATGACATATTGGTATTTTAGTTCATTCGGTAGTCCAGGTTTTTATATTACAACATTATTATAATTATTACCATATTACATATGATAATGATGATGATCAATTAAAAAACAATAGCAAGAAAATAATGTAATTACTAACCAGCATTAGGTAATTTTAAAAGTTCGTGATCTGGTGGTAGCGGTTCTGGATCCGTGACGTCTAATCCAGCAGCAAATATCTTCTTATCACGAAGAGCTCTTACGAGTGAATCGGTATTAACAATTTGACCGCGCGATATGTTTACGAAAATAGATGTCTTTTTCATTTTATCAAAAACGCTGTCATTGAAAAAGCCTTTGGTTTCGTTGGTTAAAGGAGCCGAAATCACCAGAAAATCGCTCTGCTGCAGAAGCTCGTCTAAAGATACAAATGTTGCTCCGAGCTCATCACCTGTATTGTGAATTTTAAATTAGATGTCTGAAATATTTTATAAATCTTCTACGTTCGGATATACAGATACATATATAGATAACTTTGTAAAGTAAATCATTATATTCACATTACTATTCATATAATTCATTGAATATCCAATTTCATTCATTGAATGTTTAATTGCTTTAATGAGCATAAATTCTTGTTTCTCTACACATTCTCGAATATGATAAAATTTGCGAGATATATAAAAGATAAAGAAATATAACTTTTTTTTACAATAAATTGTGAGTGTACCTGCTTTCTTTCGTGAATGTCCGGTATAAATAAAGCGTCCTACTTCAAATCCCGTTAATCGTTTGACGACAGCTTGACCGATATTTCCCAAACCAAAAATGCCGACTGTAGAGCCTCGTAAATCTTGTCCCAGCAACCATTGTGGTCCGGATCTTGTCTCGCCTCTTTTAATTGGAGTATTATATATCATAATTTATACATATTTATAAATTTCTGGCTTTCGCTATTTCGCTATTTATACATATTTATAAATTTCTGGCTTTCTCTATTTCGCTATTTCTCTAATCTAACATGCAAAAATATTGTATAATTCAATTACTCTAATCTAACATGCAAAAATATTGTATAATTCAATTACATCAATTTTGTTTCTATTAAATTATCGAATTTTTAGAAAACATCAAATTTTTATAAAATTTGAAACCTATAAAAGTTTAGAATTCTGCATATCACATTATAATGTAAAGGAGAAATAAAATGTCATTTACTGGTCTAGTTTTGTGCGACCTTCATGAACACGTCTTGCTGCAGATAACATTAAGAGCACAGCCATTTCTGCGACTGCAGCAGACAACACCATCGGCGTGTGGCCAACTTTGATGCCTCTCTTTTTAATTTCCGGGACGTCTAAATGATCGTAACCGGCTGACATGGTCGACACGACTTTCAAGTTCGGGCCTGAAAAATGTTGGAAGATTAAATTCATTAATTTTCCGTGATCTTGTGTGATTTTAATGACTTTCTTTTCTAAATAACATATTTCCAAAACGTTGAGATCTTTATTTTGCAAGAATTTAAACATAAGATATATTAATCTATATATAAATATTATACAAAACAATAAAATAATGTATAAAATAATAAGAAATATTTATAAAGAAAAATTCTACCAAGTTTCAAAAGCGAATAAATGCACAAGTGGTTTTTGCTTGTAATAAATTCAATCAATTACATAATTATCAAAATTGAAAAAGTTCTGTCAAGTATTGATAAAATGAACTTTTTACCGGCAATATCAAGGAACTCGTTGTTGACAACATGATGACTAGCAAGAAATACAGCGTCATGTCCAGGAAGAGCTTGCAACACTTGTTCTCGAGTACTTACAATAGCTGGTATAATAGTGACATTGCATCTACATCATGATAGATAATGATAGATGATGATAAATAAAATGTCAAACGATTTCATAAATATTTTGAACTTATTTGAAACTTACTTTGCTTGAAGCAGATCGATTCCTGGTGTCGGCGTTGCATTACTGGTTACCAAAACTCTTGGTAGGCTCATCGTGCTGAAAACTAAAATAGATTTGTTGGTCATATTTATAGATGCTTGTAGATGTACAAAAATAATTCATTTTTCTTCTAACTGTATAAAATGGACAATTCGTAGTCTAAAGTCTTTCTTTTTTAACATTCTTAATGTTTCGATTAAACTCACCAAAGTTGCGTTAGTTTCAATCGTTGAACTAATTTTAATAAACAGCTATTTTGTGTAGCAAACATGCAGCAATATATACTTTACACACATCCAATGTGAACTGGTGCTTTCTGATAACTATGTCAAGTTCTTAAACATGTCGGCGAGCTATGGATAAAAAGGCTGCTCACACTAGCACAAACCGGTTTACAGATAACAGGTATACTGCCTGTTGAATATAGTACAAATGTGAAATCGATAAATTATATTATATCATGTATAAAATATTCTTACGAATAAAAAAGTGATGGGTAAGACTTCTTAAGAATTATCACCAGATTCTCACTAATCATCAAATATCAATTGTGATAAGCAAACGACACATTTCATTGGTTGTTATGGCGCTGAAATGACGATATTGCGATTTTTGCATCATTTTGAAACTTATCAATGTATTACATTATAGTATTACATAATTTATGCACAAACTACAATAATTTACATCTATGCATAGATAATATAAATTGTCTAACATGTCGTTTATGTAGATATGCTTAATTTATGGAATAGTGTTTCATATTTTTGTTAAAAATTTGCTTAATATATTTTTTACTCCTTATTATAAATGTTCAAGACAAAGTACATATTTTATTTTAAAAACATAATTTTTATTTTCTTTTAAAAATTTTCAACAGCATATATATTATGTAATTACTTTCATGTCTCAAATAAATGTATTTTTAAGTTAATTTCGTGAAAATGTATTTATATTCTTACAAAACAATTATAAATTATTTATTATAAGGGATAAATCAATGGTTTGCCTTCAAGACCATTGAGAATGTTCAATGCTGCCGTTATTGACATGTCATTACGAGTCTTTATCGTCGCACTACCTAAATGTGGCACAATTACTGCAAAATAAAAATTGATATTATGCATTATATACGTAAATAATAATAGAAAATATAACATTATGCATTAAATTCTTTAAATATCGAAAAATCTTTAGAAGCCTAATTAATTTCTCTAATTCTCAAATACATGACATTTTAATATTTTAGTTCTTGATAGAGAGTCTAAGTTTTCATATTATTACAATATTACATGATACGATAATAATGAATAAACTCAAAAAAAAAAATAGCAAGAAAATAATGTAATTACTAACCGGCATTAGATAATTTTAAAAGTTCGTGATCTAGTGGTAGCGGTTCTGGATCAGTAACGTCTAATCCAGCAGCAAATATCTTTTTTTCACGAAGAGCTCTTACAAGTGAATCGATATTAACAATTTGTCCACGAGCTATGTTTACTAAGATAGCTGTTTTCTTCATTTTATCAAAAGCACTGTCATTGAAAAGTCCTTTGGTCTTGTTGTTCAGAGGAGCCGCAACCACCAGGAAATCACTTTGCTCCAGAAGGTCGTCTAGAGATACGAACATCGCCCCGAGCTCAGCACCTGTAATGTAAATTTTAAATTAGATGTATAAAATATCTTAGAAATCTTCTGTGCTCGAATATGGTTGGAAGATATTTTTACAAAGCAATAAATCTATTAAAGATTCACATTTCATATATCATACAATTCATATGTCATTAAATATTTAATTACTTTAATGAACATAAAGTTTTATTTCTCTGAATTCTGGAATAGGCATCGTAAAATTGGTAAAATATAAAAAAACGTACAAATTTAAATTTCTTCTATAAAAAAATGTGAATATACCTGCTTTCTTGCGAGAATGTCTGTATAGATAAAAACGTCCTACTTCAAATCCCATTAATCTCTTAACGATAGCTTGACCAATATTTCCCAAACCAAAGATGCCAACTGTAGAGCCGCGTAAATCCTGTCCCAGCAACCACTGTGGCCCGTAATCTGTCTCACCACTTTTAATGAGATTGTTATTGTACATTTGTTAGTACGCAATTCAATTAATTAATCTATATTTACATTTAAAAGCAGTTAATAAAAACAGATTATACATTATACATAAAATAAGAATTACTATTCCCGTTTCAAGCGACCCTCGCGGATGCGTCTTGCTGCAGATAACATTAAGAGCACGGCCATTTCCGCGACTGCAGCGGACATCACTATCGGTGTGTGACCAATCTTGATCCCTCTCCTTTTAATTTCCGAGACATCCAAATGATCATAACCGGCCGTCATTGTCGACACAACTTTTAAGTTCGGACCTGACAAATGTTGGAAAATTGATTCCGTTATTTATCGCTTATAAAATCTCATATAATGTTAATGATTCCTATTTCTAAATATTTTTTTAAAATTTGGAAATTTTTATTTTGAGAGAATTTAAACACGAGAGATAAATCTGTATATATAAATATTATATAAAATATTATATATAATACTAAAAAATGTATAAAATTATTTTAAAAAATAAGAAAATGTTTATAAAAAAATGTTTAGTTTAAAAATGTAGAGAACAATTGTAGTAGCAATTGTTGCTTAGAAAAATTGAATTGATTGCACAATTTTCAAATCTGAAAAATTTTTAAACATTGATAAAATCAAATTTTCACCAGCGATATCAAGGATCTCGTTACTAATAAAGTGATGATTAGTAAGAAGTACAGCATCTTGTCCAGGAAGAGCTTGCAATAGTTGTTCTCGAGTGCTTACTGCAGCTGGTATAATAGTGACATTGCATCTATATCATAATAACAGACAATGATAACGATAAATAAGATGTCACATAATTTATAAATATTGCCTCTATACTTATAAATTAACAGATTATTTATAAAAACTTACTTTGTTTGAAGCAATTTGATGCCTGCTGCTGGTGTTGCATTACTGGTTACTAAAACTCGTGGTAAATTGGGCAAACTCATTGTACTGTAAATCAAAACTGAATAGTTTTATTAGTAGCATATATATGAATGTTTCAGATATGCAAAAATAATTTCTGTGTTTTTTTTCTGAGTATACTACAGCAAAGATTCATGTCAAGTTTTTTTCACATTTTTAATATTTAAATTGGACTTACCAAAGTTGTACTAGTCTCAGCTGTTGGATTAAATATAATAAATAGCAATCTTGCACAGTGATGTACACTTTACACGCATTTAATGTGAACTGTAGCTTTCTGATAATCTGATATCAGATTCTTGAACATATGAGCTGTGTAATAAAAAATTTGATTGTAATCACTAGTGCAAATCAGTTTGAAGATAATATATATTTTACCCGTTGAATAATGCACACATAAAATCAGTAAATAATATCAAAATATTCTGAATGGAAAAGTATTACATTATAAAGAGTTCTTAAGAATTATTACCAGATTTTTACTAATGATCATATATCATTTTCCATAAATTCTGGTGTCTTTTTTATTAATCTTTATTAGCTCAGAAAATACATAGAACAAAATAAAACATTTTAATAAATATAGATTATAAGAAACTTTACAATATTAAAAAAATTCCCGAATAAGTACAATTCTGAAAATACAATTGATATATTTCACCGACAATATCTATTAATGTATTACATTCGGAGACTTTTACAGAAGTTATAATAAAAAGTTATAAATTTACTTTATTTAATAGAGTATAACGAATAAAAATACATAAGAGTAAAAATGTATAAAAAATTATAAAAATTAAATATTTGAAATTAAATTATATAGTATAAATTGTTGATATTTTTTTCTTTACAGAGAAGTCAATAATTATTTCATTAAATCATTTCAATTTATAAATTTATGAATATAGTTTATAAATTTAAAACGAGGTACATTATGCAATTTATAATTATAATTAATAAATTAAAAAATGTAACTTTGTTTTTTATAAAACAGATTTATAATCATATTCACACCTTTATAAATATAAAACAAATAATACATCAAAAGTATATATTCCATACTCTCTCGTATCTATCTTTTAATAAATTAAAATTGTCAAAATCACAAGATCATTATTGCTGGTTGTGATGCTAATTGGATGTCGTTACCATTATTCCCATAGTCAACTTCTGGACAAACCTATATAAACAATTGTAATATTCACATAAAAAATAAATTGTCTGGTTTATGATGTGATTATTACATTGTGCATTTTTAAGAAATTAAACGCAACATAAAAAAAAATAAAAATTAATTATACACTATTAACTATAACAACAATAAAACTTACTGTCATTTTTTTTATTTAGCTTAGTTGGCTTGCCAAATGTTAACCTTTGATATGTTCATTGAAATGAATTCTAATAGCAACAGATATATGCTTCCGTGACAAATATTATACGCTACTTCTAAAATCATGTGTGATCTTCTTTCTCGTACGTATTCCCATATAGCCAACTCTGAAATGTATGTCTTTTTAAAATAGTTGTTTCGCGACAGTAAGATCAAAGAGTTAAGTCTTTTAATAAACGCGATGTGACGAATCAACTGTTGTGTCACGTGTTTCTTGCATATTTTTCAATTTGTCCAAATGTGTCTTTCTTATATGATGATCTATATAAGAATGAACAAAAAAGATACATTGTCATGACAAATATTACAGTTCACCACAAAATCACTTTCTTGTGTCCAATATTTCCGTGCCCAACATCGATATGCATAATTCTTCCGTTGTTCTCCAGAATGCAAATTCAAGTGTTTTTTTACAGATTCAAATGTCGACAAAACATTTGCATCACAGATAATACATTGTGAATATAATTCGTTCAAATACTTAAAATACATCCATGGCTGTTTCATTAATTTTCTCTCTTCGTATTTCCAAATTGTTCTATGACGTCTTGTAACATGATTACGGAAGTTTCTAGCGTTTATATAACGGAATTCCTTTTCGCAAAACATGCACTGCGCTTTAAAGTCCGATAGTTTTAAATAATATTTCCACATATGCTTTTTAGTTGCAATATTCAAAGATAATGAGTTCGTTTGAAATGATGAGAGGCGTTCTGACGAACCAACTGTGTCATGTGTTTCTTGCATATTTTTCAATTTGTCCAAATGTGTCTTTCTTATATGATGATTTATATAAAAATGAACACAAAGAGATACATTGTCATGACAAATATTACAGTTCACCACAAAATCACTTTCTTGTGTCCAATATTTCCGTGGCCAACATCGATATGCATAATTCTTCCGTTGTTGTTCAGAATGCAAATTTATGTGATTTTTTACAGAATGAAATAACGACAAAACATTTGCATCACAGATCATACATTGTAAATATAATTTGTTTAAATACTTAAAATACATCCATGGCTCTTTCATTTGTTTTATCTCTTCTTCGTGTTGCCAAATTGTTATATGATGTCTTGCAACATGTTTACAAAAGTTTGAAGTGTTTATATAATTGTATTTCTTTTCGCAAAATATGCACCGTGCTTTAAAATCCGGCAGTTTTATATAATATTTCCACAGATTTTTAGTTGTAATACTTAAAGATAATGAGTCTGTTTGAAATGATGGAAAGCGTTCTGACGTACCAACTGTGTTATGTATTTCTTGCGTATTTTTGAATTTGTCCAAATGTGTCTTTTTTATATGACAACTCATAATATAATAAAGAGAAAGCGTTACATTGTCATGACAAATATTACACTCCACTACAAAATCACTTTCTTGTTTCCAATATTTCAGTGGCCAACTTCGATATGCATAATTCTTCCGTTGTTCTCCAGAATGCAAATTCAAGTGATTTGTTACAGATTTAAATGTCGACAAAACTTTTGCATTACAGATAATACATTGCGAATATAATTTGTTTAAATACTTAAAATACATCCATGGCTCCTTCATTACTTTTCTCTTTTCTTCGTATTTCCAAATTGTTATATGATGTCTTGCAACATGTTGATAAAATTTTGTAGTGTTTATATAATTGTATTTCTTTTCGCAAAACATGCATTGTGCTTTAAAATCCGGCAGTTTCGTATAATATTTCCACACATGCTTGCTAAATGCAGTATTTGGTGACATTGTGTTTGCTTCAAACGACTGCACGCGTGTAACTGAATATAATACAAGAATCTTTCGTCGAAAAGTATAATAGAAGACGTAAGAAAACGTTTTTCATATCAAGTGTAAAATATTGGATACGTCGGCCACATCTAGCTAACGGTTTCCCATTTGAACGTAAATATTGATACGTTGGCCACATTTAACTATCAATTATCAAAATAGGGGTAACAATTTTATGTCCGAGTTTGTAATATGATCTCAACAAAAGAGACATTACAGCGTGTTCTTTATACAATCATACTATTTTGTGAAAATAATGCACAAGTAATATATTATCTATATGTAGAAAAATAAAATTATTTTAAAATTATCTGTATCAAAGAATTACGCATATTTCTTCGAAATTATTTTGTACTGAGCTAAATGCAATCGACATACTGACTGCAAAAATAAATAGATACGATAAGTGATTGATAAATGATATGACTGATAAATAATTAAAAAAACATTATAATGTATATGTAGTTATCCACTAGATTTATTTTTATATATGGCAACATCGACGTTTTTGTTGCAAGATGCCCCAAATTATTAGTTTAAATTTTGTATTACAACGATCTATTTGTTTGTTTAATAACAGCAGTTTGTAATGCTTTCAATTTAGTTTGAGAAATTTTTATTAAAATGAAAAATATTCTAATGTTTTATATATTGAAATATTTTTTTAAAACGCACTTTATTCGACTTTATCAAAACGATAGTTATTCGTCATTGTACAAATATAATTTCGGCGTTTCTTAATTTAATCCAATCTAATTTAATTTAATTTAATTTAATTTAATTTAATTCGGTCACATAAACATATAGAATATAAAGAATTAGAAAATAAATAATCGGACCAAATTTCGAATAAACATTTGTATAAAACCAATAAGGGCATCGTAAAATTTATGAAATATATAAAAAAATGTATAAATTTAAATTTCTTCTATAAAGGATTGTGAATGTGAATTTGCTTTTTGCGAGACTGTCCTGTATAAAGAAAACGTCCTACTTCAAATCTCATTAATCCCTCAACGATGGCTTGACCAATTGTTCCCAAATCAAAAATGCCAACTGTAGAGTCTCGTACATCCTGTCCCAGCAACCACTGTGGCGCGTAATCTGTCTCACCACTTTTAATGAGATTGTTATACATTTGTTAATTACGCAATTCAGTTAATAAGTCTCTATTTACCTTTAAAACCAGTTAATAGAAACAGATTATACATTATACATAAAATATGAATTACTATTTCATGCGACCCTCGCGGATGAATCTTGCTGCAGGTAACATTAAGAGCACGGCCATTTCTGCAACTGCAGCAGACATCACCATCGGAGTGTGACAAATTTTGATGCCTGTCCTTTTAATTTCCGGGACGTCCAAATGATCGTAACCGGCCGTCATCGTCGATACAACTTTTAAGTTCGGACCTGACAAATGTTGGAAAATTGATTCCGTTATTTATCGCTTATAAAATCTCATATGATATCAATAAATCCTCATTCTAAATGTTTTTCTAAAATTTAGAGATTTTTATTTTGAAAGAATTTAAACACGAGAAATAATAAGTCTGTATATATAAATATTATATAAAATACCAAAAAATGTACAAAATGATAAAAAAAATAAGAAAATGTTTAGCTTTCAAATGTAGAGAAGAAACGAAGTAGTAATTGCTGCTTAGACAAATTGAATTGATTGCACAATTGTCAAATCTGAAAAATTGTTAAACATTGATAAAATAAATTTGTCCCCAGCGATATTAAAGATTACGTTACTAATAAAGTGATGATTAGTAAGAAATACAGCACCTTGTACAGGAAAAGCTTGCAATAGTTGTTCTCGAATGCGTACTGCAGCTGGTATAATAAGAACATTGCATCTATATCATAATAACAAATAATGAAAACGATAAATAAAATGTTAAACAATTTTTATAAAAATTGCATTTATACTTATAAATTAACAAAGATTATTTATAAAAACTTACTTTGTCTGAAGCAATTTGATGCCTGCTGCTGCTGTTGCATTACTGGTTACCAAAACTCGTGGTAAACTGGACAAACTCATTGTACTGTAAATCAAAACTGAATAGTTTTATTAGTAGCATATATGTGAATGTTTCAGATATGCAAAAATAATTTCTATGTTTCTTTTTTTAATAAACTACAGCAAAGATTCATGTCAAGTTTTCTTTTACATTTTTAACATTTAAATTGGAATTATCAAAGTTGTACTAGTCTCAGCTGTTGGATTAATTATAATAAATAGCAATCTTGTACAATGATGACACTTTACACGCATTTAATGTGAACTGTAGCTTTCTGATAATCTGATATCAGATTCTTGAACACATCGGTGAGCTGTATGATAAAAAATTTGATTGTAATCACCAGTGCAAATCAGTTTGAACATGATAGATATATAACTTGTTGAATAGTGCACACATAAAATGAGTAAATAA